GGAAGATTGTGTTTGTCCGCATGAGGTAGATGGGGGGGTTTCCCTGTGCCAGAGGTTTTCAAAGTGGGAGGCGGGCTTCCTCAGGGAGGCTCCAAACAGTTCCAGAGGAGGCTCAGTGAATGGAAGTGAAAAAATATGACATTATCAAAAGGAGATCACATAGAACAGGCTGAATGTGTGTGATTTGGTTAAAGAGATACAGTACTTTTGGGGAATTTTTCCTGTACTTTCCCAGAGTCAGAAACCAATAAATGCCTTAAGACATACCTGTTTATGTATTTGTGTAGGCTGAAGTTCTGTTAAACAGCAATATTAGGTTGCCTTGTCTCAATTGTTAAGTTTCTGTGGAAACAATATAGCAATCACGATCCAATAGGCATCCAGGAATTGAGCGAAAGCTTTGCCTGAAGGGAAGACCATAGTTTCAGGCTTTGAAAAACCCCTGCCCCTGGCCACCTGTGAACCCCAGTGCACATTTCTGGTACAAGCTTGGGTTAGGTTGAAGAGATTTCTGTAATGCCAAACTTTACAGCTGTCAGTAAGGAAGTAATGGTATTGTCATATGTCAAATGTGATAAAACAGCCCCATCCCTTACAAGCTGCCCACACCCAATTCAGCCACATGTTTCAGTTGTCCGTCATGCATCTGACAGAACGAATACCAGACATATAACATCTCACAGATGTCGTACATGCAACATCTATTCCAAGTCTGTCCGTCCTGGGAGAGGGATCCCTCCTCTGTGAGTTTTTCCTTACCCAAATGAAGGGTCAGAGGGCAGAGGGTGTTAAATGTTGTACATATTGTAAATCCCCCTGAGGCAAATTGTGATTTTGGGATATATAAATAGAATTTGATTTGATGACTTACACTTGAGTTTCTTTTAGACTGCCCTGCTCTGGTCCTTTTCCTTCAGCACAAAGCTCACTTCAGAGCCACATTACTCATATCCCGACATTTAAAGGTAAACAAGGCAGATGAAGAATTGAATGACCAACCACATGTTGCATCAAAAAATGAATCATCATCATCAATCATTTCTACTTTAAAATCCTTAAAAAGTAATCTCCTCCTTAAAGCCTATCTCATTAAAGCTGCAGTAGGTCATTTTTATTTAAAAAAAATGTTTTGTTATAGCCTATTTGTTGAAACTTTTACCATATCCTGATAGTGGTTCATGAGACATATAATCTGTGAAAAAATCAGTTTGCCTCATTCTGGTGCTTTTAATGGCATTTGCAAGAATCCACCGAGCCTGAACAAAACAACCAATCACAGTCAAGAAATATAGAAAGACACTTTGGGTTGGAGGCTTGAAGATAGTTGAATTTTGAGTCTTATTCTCACAGTCTCAAAGCAAGACTTAACAGTCAACTATCTTCCTTGGCTCTGACTGGTTGCTTTAGCTCTTGCCTGGTGGATTCTTGCAAATGAAATCAGGAGCGCTAGAATGAGGCAGAGGAATCAGATTTTTCCACAGATTATCTGTCTCATGCACTACTGTCAGGATATATTGAAAGTGTCAGCAAAAAGATTTTTATAAAAATGACCGACTGCAGCTTTAAAAATTCCAGAGTCTCTGAATATGCTGGACACAAGATGTCTCCTACTACACTGTAAAGTCCGTTGTCAGTGTATGTGTGCTGCTGGCTTCAAGTTTCTATATCACACTGAATAAGTTACATACTGACCAGGATTGACTTCCAAATTATTTGTGATGTCACAATTCATGCTTGTAGGCCCGCCCCTTAAAATACAGATTTTCAATGAGCACAGAGAAACTTTCCACTTTCAACAGATGAATGTGAAAACATCCTTCTAGTGTCAAACTCTGCACAGACAGCACTCAAACATTACACTGTATGAACAAGGAGAAAAACAGATTTTTGACAGGAAGGGGACTAAATTCAGTTGTGAAATTATCATGAAATAGCGTAGCGAAAGGCTTTTAACACATAGCAAAAATGGTCCTACCACCACAGCAGAACTTTGTATGTGTGATCACACAAGAAAGATATATAATAATAACCATAATAATACAGTATAATAGTAAAATACTATTGCAGGAAATCAAGCTAGAAACTAGTCAATACAAAGAACAGAACTAAAACACCCAACAAATAAAACCCTCACACTCTTTTGTTTTCACTGAAAACTCAAACAGCCAGACAAGTTGCCCTGACAGCATTCAGTGTCTTAAATGATCTTTGCGGAGTATAAAAGGACTTTTTGCTGGTAAATTGCTGTAATTATCAAACATGCCCTTCTCATTTTGCACAGTCAGACCTCGTTGGCAAATTCACCCAGCAATTAACAAAAGCTGGAAATGAATGACATGTAATGGTGTGCCCCACATTACTCAGATGAGGACAAACAATCTGGAGAAAAGGAGGCTGTGATGATGGGAAATGTGCGAGACAGGCCGAGAGGAGTTACATGCTGAAAACGTCATGAGCTTTTGGTTGAGAGGGGGATTTGAAACAATGTTTGAAAAATGATCCGCAGGGAAAACCTGAGAGACTTTGAAATCCTGTTGCCCCTGATATGTGTTGCTCATTCATTACCGATATCACCAGCTATGAATCGGGTGCTTTTCTCTTTGTTGGAGACACTTGGTAAGGCTTTGTACCGTTTGCTTTATTGTGGTCTAAAGAGAGGAGGAGGAGGAGGGAGGAGGAGGAGGAAGAGGTGGGGGGCATACGATGCAAATGACAGTGTTTCAGAGCGCTTTGTTGCCAATCATTGAGAAATTATAGCTCCAGGAGACCTGTAACATCATAAGTGGCTTCTGGAAGATCGAGAGTGGAAAAGTAGACGTGTTCAAGTTCTGCCTGTTTTGGAGAATTTTGTGAAATCTCCCTGTCTGTGTATTTATTTAAATCCCTAATTAAGCTTACAGTGAGCAGCAACTCATAAGAGCTCTCCTTAGGTTGGGAATGAAGGGCTACCCAAAGGATACAAGAAACAAAACATTTTAGAAATTTGTGGTCAATATTCAGTGTTTGTCATTCTTGATTAAAATGGGGAAGGAAATTAATTTTTAAATATGTTGTGATTAGTAAAAAAAAGTTGCAGTTTGTAGTTGCAGGTAAACCTTCAGACACTGAAGCTTTGACCTCACTAAATGTGTGTATAAAGTATAAAAAAGAGGAAACTAAATGTAGAAAAAACGTTTTTAATCAGAGAGCACTTCCATATAAAGGACAAAAATTACATTCAAATAAATAAATACATATAGAAATACATTTAAAAAAAATCATATTTATTTATTTTTATATTTGTATGTATTTATTTATCCTTATGTCATTTTTGTCCTACATACTTGCAACATGTTACTTTTCATGTTGATATGACGTACAGACAACTGGAGGTCAAACCCTGTGAGACATTTTTATTCGCAGCGAAATTGCGCCCCTGTGTGGTCAGTCTCCGGTACTGCAAATAGCCTCTCTAACTACTTTCACAGCAGTTTTACATTTGAATTCTTTGCTCTTTATTGTATTTCACATGCTTTTAATATTTATTGTACATTTGTGCAACTATAACAGTGAACACAGACATGTCTTCCGCTCCCAGGCTGATAAAAACATGGCGGACATGCATTCTTACGCAGGGCCTGCACACAGGTGATCTCCATTTAATTAATTATGTGACTTCGTGCTGTCCGCGCATGCGCAGTGACGAATGAAGCGGAATGAAGCGGCCCCGGCTGTGGAGATATTGGATTTAAACTTGGGTTTCTCTCCGGTTGTGATGTAACGTTGTAATGTTCCGGGCATAAAGAAGACATCTACAGTATCACAAAATACCTTCAGAGGTAAAAACCTGCTGCCACATAACAGGTAAAAACCACTACTACTTTATTATTATTATTATTATTATTATTATTATTATTATTATTAACAACCGGACACTGTACAAACATTCAGGCAAAAAAAGAGAGAGAAAACTTTACAAGACAATAACATAAACTAAAAAGAAAAAGAGGTGTACTACATAATTAAAAACATTTAGTCAGAGGTTTCAGGGAAGTGTCATAGTCATAGTCAAAGGCTTGGAGCGTTTAGGAGTCTTCAAATATCAGAAAAACAACAACAACAACTGGATTTAAAATAATGAAACTGATCATATATTCAGGAGCCACGATCTGGATTATCATAGTAACAATTACTCTTTAAGATTTAACAGAAGAGACAGCAGGTCTGTCCAATTTCACACACACACACACACACACACACACACACAATCAGCAGGGCACATATTATGTACATTTTATTAGTGTGTTGCTTTGTTTGAATTACACTGCTTATAAGGTCAAATCTGAACCCGTCTGCAGCAGATCGTTTTATTCACTTTGTCATTTTTAGTTAAAGTTTTCTGAATATGTTTGTTACACACAATAGTTTAATTCCATCCAACATCAATAAATGCTGTTCTAGTACGCCAGGGTTGGGAGGGTTACTTTAAAAATGTAATCCGATACAATTACTAATTTTTTACAATTACTAATGTCATTACCTTAATCCAAGTATCACAATATTAAAAATGTAATTGTAATCCTGCTAATAATCCCCGTGTTTACTTAATGTAACTGTAATCTGATCACATCTTCTTTCTGTAACTGTAATAGACTACAGTTACCTTTCTATACGCAGAATACGTTACTCAGTTACATGTAATCCGTTACTCCCCATTGAGCCTGTATCATCCTTCCACAGGTTGACTAATGAAGCTCCTCTGGACGGAGCTCCGGGATGTGGCCTATGTGTCTCTGTTTCTGATCAATGTGTCCCAGTGGACCAGAGAAAGGTCTCGTGAGGTTGGACCAGAGCCGGTGGCGGCGCGTTACGGCTCAATCACGCGGTAAACGTACGTAACGTAAGGAGCGATGAGGTCATACACGAGGAGGCTAGGGGCGCGAGACGGCAGCGCACGGGGAAGTTTCGGTCCACAGACCTGTCGGTGGAGGTGACGCGAGAGGCGGAGCAGCTAACCCATGTGCCAGATGTTAATAGGCCATGATTAATAAGCGAATAAAGCCAACACACGTCTTTTAGAGGCAGAAGTCCACCGGCTGAAGGACGCTATGGAAGTGGAGAACCAGAACGCGGTGAGTGGACGGAGTATGGAGCTAGCATAGAAGTCTTATTGTAGCTAACTCTAAGTTATAGTCATTTCAACGTAAATAACGTTTAGTTACAAAAGTCAGGGTGGCTCCGAGCCAAGTTTACTCAAATGAACGGTAACCAAGCATGAAAATGTTAGCTAACGCTAACTTGCTGTGTGAAGTTAAGAGGTTCAACCTGCTGGATAACGTTAGCCAGGGACGTAGGGTTAGGGTTAGGGTTAGGGTTAGGGTTAGCTAGCCAACTGAAGAGGGAAACTTTAAAGAGGTTTAGAAGTCATTCTGTTTTTGTAAAGTTGGAGACTTTTGGACAGAAAATATTCAGGGTCATATGCTATTGTTCATGTTGGAGAAAGCCTGCAAATAAGCTACAGAAGTTAGTTTATTCTAGTAAAATACGCTGCACATTTTTTCATAAGTGATTTTTTTTTAATTTCTTTTTTTTAATTATTGGTGGTTGATACTCGTTTATTAAATGCCATTGTTTACCGATGTTTTCCATTTACATCTAAGTTGAAACAGTGTACACGAATCTGTTAACTTTGGCCATGTTGGAAGAGTTACTGTTGATTTCATCTACTGGCTGCAGGTGCATCAACTTTGCCTGACTTAAAAGACTCAAATCTATTGTTTATTATCTTGTTTGTTGGACTTCAATGAGTGATACTATGAAGTACCTGTTAATGGTTTCACCCCCTGTTTTTTTTTTTTTTTTGTTGGTTTGTGGTTCACTGCTTTACTCTGGTGATTTTTCTTTTGATCTTGTATCAAGTAAAAACAAAGCTGAGTGTCCTCCAGTTTTAAAACTCTTTGTGTACATAAAAATGGGATTTAGTGCTCCTCATACACTAAATCCTGCTTGCTGTCCAACAAGGACAGGTGGTGTAGTTTCTAACTGGCTTAGAACTGGACCATGATGCCTTGCCATTTTTCTTTTATTCAAGTCCACATCCTGCTGTCCATCCCAGAACAGCAGCAGCTCCTCCACCCCTGATGTTTTACCTCCAGAAAACCATGATGACAGCCTGACCCACCGCTTTGGCACTGTTATCCCCAATCGGATTTTTGTCGGGGGGATTGACTACAAGGTGAGAGCTGAAGACGTGCACTGGCAGAGTGCATATTTGGGCATGCATCTGGAGTCCTGGCCACACTGCATGCGTCTGCAGCATGTCTGTGCGAGAGCAGCAAAACACAAATTAAGTCAAAGTCAGGTCAGATGAGAATGAACATAATTCATAGGAGGCCTACTGTTACTCAACTGTAATTCCAAAATTCTCCATTAATGGCTTTTATACCAATGTCTGCAGATGCTAAACATTTTCGTAATCAAAAATAATATCTACTAATGTGCTGTGTCATCCCTATCTCCACTTCCTGCCACCTCTCTACCAGGGATGTCCCTGGCAATCCATTTTGCTGTTGATTAAATTAAAATGTAAATGTAGGCTAGTCGGCTAGTCTAAAAGTAATTCAATGCTAAAAAAAACTGATCACAATTTAAAGACTAAATACACAAACCGCACACACACACACACAGCCAGGCTTCACAAGTTACTGTTATTTTCCTCAGTATATGTGACAGCTGTTTTATAATGTGATCACCAGTTTGTAGTTACTCAATGTCGTCATAACCTACCATACTATTTTCGAGTATTTTCTTTTCAACTCCAGTTTCACCATCCTCCTTCCCTTGAAAAGTGTAATGTCTAACAGATGTCTCTTGCTGGGGCTGCAGCCCAGCTGGTGGCTGCATAAAGACAACGTTAACCAATGTAGTACATTAATAAAAATGAGTTTAACTGACTAGTATTTCTGTTGTCGACTAGTAAGATGAGTAACGTATAACCAACTAGTTGACTAATCAGGCACTCTCTACTGGCTAATAAAGGCATAAAATCCCAGCAGAAATTTGTTTAGTTTTTCTCTGTCAAGACCACACACATACACACTTCAGCGATCCAAATATTGCATAATTTACATAATCTACCATTTAATTAAAATGTTTCCTATTAATTCTGCAGTAAAAGTAACACATCAAGTGTCGTTCATAAGAAGGCCTGGGCGTGGATTTTTGGCTTCCAACTATTATGAAAACAAGATAATCGAGATAAAGCGATTATTGTGCCTCATTCAGTTTCACACCTTACAGTTGTTTGCCTTAGCCCCTCCCCACCTAAACCCACTCTCAACCAGGCTGTGGCATGTTTAGTTCAGCTCAAGCCAAGATGACAGAGAGCTTTTGGCCGTATTCACACCGAATCACGCATTGTAGGGATCAGCCCATGGCTATACGAGGTTGTGGCTGTGCAACTGCTGTGAAAATACAGAAAATAACATTTATTTCTCTGATTCACAGGCTTCCACCACTCCCCACCCTCCCTATGCTACTTGACCAGCACTGAAAATATCACATGCAACAAACGCACACATACTGTATGTAGTGAACTTATGTTGGGTGAGCAGGCAGAGACACACTATGGCAGTCCCAGAACCTCGTTCAAATAAGTTGGAGAGGCAAAGTATATCACAGCTTGCAGTGTATGTAAAAATAAATTAATAAATAAAAAACTTCAGATGCACCACACAGATAACACTGAATAAAAGGACATGGTGAGGACCATGATGCCGCTGGACATATTTTGTGTTTTAGTTGAATTATATCTAAAGTTCACAGTCAAAGACACATTTAAACACTTTTTTTTATTTTTTTTATTTTTTTTTATTGAAAAAAGTTCAATAAATAGAAGTTTCCAAAGTCAATGAGTAAACCTATTAAATAATCTTGATTATGATTTTTGCTATAAATGATCAGCCCTATTCAGCAATCAATTGTTTCTTGGCTTTGTCTCATTTAAGTTAGTCAGTGCCATTCCCTCCAGAGTTTTTCACTTAGTGCTGTTGCCGACTCTTTTGAACACTCTATGATTCACTGTACATTTTGTGTAAAATCTGCAGTATAGCTATCATTGTTAGGATGGATTTAAATGTCCTCCTGGTTGTACAAAACCCTACTAACTGAAACTAATAATTGTGGAGAAGATCACCAAACCACTGTACATTCTTTTGGAGTGATGGCATTCAAATGCGTGTGTGTTTTGTGAAGGTCAATGAAAGCGACCTGAGACGAGTCTTCTCCCAACATGGTGCAGTAAAAGAGGTGAAGATTGTGATAGATCGCTCAGGAATGTCAAAGGGGTGAGTTAACAGCGTCATTCCTGTCATACAGATGTACAGTTAGTGATTGAACAATAATGCATGAAGTCGTGACTTTCCTTTGACTTTGAGCATCATTTACTGTTAAAGCATAGGTTGTCTTTATTCTGTCTTTGAACAGATATGGGTTTGTTACATTTGAAACCCAAGAAGACGCACTGAAAATCCTTCATGATGTAAGTAAAGCAGACCTTCAAAGTATCTTGCACCTCAACTTAAGGTACATCTATTAATGTTGATCTACTGGACTATATTGTCTAATGTAGCGCCTATTCCCTCAACTGCTATATTAAAGGTTAATGGAATCTGTTTCAAAGACAAGAAGCTCAGCATTGGTCAGGCTGTCCGCAAGCAGCAAGCTTCAGGACAAAGTAAGTAACAGTATAAAATGGAAGGTGCTTTGACTTACGGCTGAATTGCTTCAAGTGAATTTGCCACAGTTTCAAAATGCTAAGGTAGCTTTTTACCAGTCCAGGGCCGGTTGTTACTGAACAAAAAGGTGACTGATGATGATGATGATGTTGTTTCTGAAGGGTTTTAAATACCCAGTAATAGGCACAGGGTCACTGTGGTGTTCTTCCTTCTCCAGATAAGAGCTCCCGTTTGGGCTGCACTGACTCTGCCATGCCTCTGCCGGTGTCCTGTGGCAGCCTGTACCACACCACGTCCACAGGCTATCCGTACACCTACCACAATGGAGTGGCCTACTTCCACTGCCCCAACATGAAACCTCCTGCCCACCATTGGCCCGTCAGTTCTCACTGATATCACACCCACGTAACACTGACTTCAATATTAAACAGCTGATTATTTAAAAACCTGCTTGACATTTCAAGTCTTACATTAGTTAACACCAACCATTCGTATTAAAAACTTGCCAAAATGAATTTCTCAGTGAAAAGATCCACTAATGTGACGTATCATTTACCACAGACTAACGATTTATTAATGCTGGTTGACCTTGCTGTTCGGTAGTTCTTACATGGCAACATCCAATCAGCTGCAACACCGCGCCGGAATGCCATATTGTGGCCAGGGTGCACTGGCCAAATGGCTAGTGAATGGTCAAGAACATTTGCATATTTCACCAGAATTTTGTTGGTGGCTAGTGCTAGTTTTGTGCCCCGATTCTGGTAGACTCGTACCAAGGCAGCTGGTCTAGAAAGAGTTTGAGTTTTTTGTTTGTTTTTAGCTTAATAAAAGAAATGGAAATAAGTATCAGACAGAGCTACACTAGCTTGGTGTCCCTTTTTTGAAGTGGTTGACTATATAACCGTCACGTCAGTGTTAGTGATAAACTACATTTTATACTCTGTTTAGTAATAATTTTAACTAGGCCTGCAATTAATGATTTTCATTATCAATTCTGTTGATTATTTTAATAATTGTTCTATAAAAAGGAAAAACGCCTGTTACAATTTCTTGTAACACAGCAGTTTTCAAACAGCTTGTTTTTCTGTATCTCCAAAATGATCAATATGCTAAGAAAAAGAAAAAACAGCAAATTGTCACAACTGAGCTGCTGCTACTTAAGAATGTTTGATATTTTTGCTTGAAAAATGAAAATTAATTTTTATCAAAATAGTTGATCAAAAAATAAAATAATTGCACTAAGGACCCAAACCTTTAGCCAGATAAAGCCAACACATTTGCTGCCTTGGTATGCATCCCAACAGATCTTTTGATCCATGTTTCAAGGCTGAATACATCATAACAGGTTGTCCCACTCTGAAAGTGTCTCTAAATTAAATTGGAGCCGCTGGTAAATAGGGTTATATTAATGTATTGACAAGACAAATAGGCAGTGACTAGCATATTAAGGTCATTACTGGTCTCACAGTCTTCACAATGTTTTTTTAAAAAAAATTACTGCAATTTATTGGGTAGCGCAGTTGGTAAAGACAGAATGTTTGACAGACCACAGACGTGTGAGTGTGAGCACTACAGAGTGTGATTTGTGTCTATTTATTCTCCAGCGGCCTGCTCCTCCAGTGATGCTTCCTCCATCCCATCAGCCTGTCTACCAGCAACCAGCCTATCACCACTACCAGGTCAGCTCAGCCCTTTAGCAATCCATTCATTTCTCACCATCTCACTATGTAGCAAGTACAGCAGGGGTTTGAACTATTTAAGTCTGCTGTCTTGTTACCTCCCCCTCTCCCCAGTGTGTCCCAAACCAGTATCAGTGGAATGTCGTCCAGGTAGGCAAAATGAAGCCATTACGGATTTTATTTCAGGAGAATTTGGCCAGTTGTTCAGCTGTTACTGTTTTGTTGTTCAGCCGCCGATGCCCTCCAGTCCAGTCGTGTACTCCCAGCAGTCAGAATATCTGTACCAGCCCACCAACGGAGGCTCCCTCCAGCCTCCTCTGCCTGTCATGGAGGACGTCACACCGGAGGTATAAACTCAACAAGAAAAATCCAAACACAACCACAGCCATGAAAAGAGTTGGAATATTATTGCTGCATGTTTGTTTAATCATGAATCTGCTCCCACAAGTAATTTGCTCTTTTAACTGCTTGGATATTTATATACTCATGTTATAGAATTGATATGATTTTTAAGAGCTAGAAAATGTTTATATTTCATTTTCCAGCTTTTAAACTTGTTTCCTTCCTGCTTTTTTGAATGTGTCCACACTGTTTCATTGTGATTCTGCTGGTTATATGGGTGTTCAGTAAACGTGTTCTGAACTGGAGCTCACTTTAGTCTGTTTTTGTACTTCTGCAGTTCATAGATCCCATGGGGCAGCAGGTTTACCCACTGTACCCTCAGAGAGCTGAAGGAATGGCACCCATTGTTCTGCAACACAACCCTGGAAAGGTAAAAGGCTGTTTTTAGCTTTGACTGTGAATTTATCAATTAAATAAGCTTTCACTACAATGACAGCATCACCAAGTCTGCCTAGCTTCTATTGTAAAGACAATCAAGAGTTAATGATGGAAATCTTGTACTAATAGAACAGTAGTGTGTTAACTGAAATACAAGGCTGGGTGTTGGAATCCAAATGAAAGCGTTTGGAATTCATGTCTTTAGGACTGGACCACTGTTTCTCTGTTTCTGTCAACTCTTTCAATGTTTGTGTGTTCCTCTTATTTCTGCAAACCTTTACTGAGTTTCTTTTCTCCGCAGAATCCGATGTTTCCGCACTCTCAGGTCCATCTGAAGCAGAGGTACCACCGATACATGGACCACAAGGACTATCACTACCTGCCAGACGCAACAGAGCCACCAGACACCTCCGCGCTTCATGCTTCTCAACCTTTCATGTAGACTAAACCCACAGACAGCTTCACAGAGGGAAAAACTCCCACACACTGCACCGCAACCACTCATGGCAGTTCAGTCCCTTCCTCTTCCTTCTCCGTGGATTTAACTCACATAATCTCTCAACTGTTTAACCTGTGCCTTACAACATAATGCAGTATGTTTCATGACGTGATTTTGTAGCCTCTTCGTTGAGATGATCATTTTGTCTGTTGCACTTGTTCCCACCAACTCACTACAACGAAGGTAAGCTCTCAGGACTCACTAGACTCCCAGCGCAGCACTCAGATCTGTTTCTGTTAAGGATGCACCGATTGGGGAAATTCTAGACTGATGGTAATGTTTGAAATCCCAATTTGGCTGTTAGCCGACGCTGATATTGATGTTGGGTTTTTTTTGTTATTTATTTGCCCTTTGGGTAAACTAAAGATGAGCATCTCTGCCTTTGTGCAACTCAATATATTTCTTTTCTCATCCAAGATCAGCTGAACAGCAGCTCACTGTCGGTGCTGCTACATGGAGAACATGGAGGTATTTGAGTGCAATTTCTGCCAGTGCTGGAAAACGGAGGTGATTATTTCTCCAATGTCCAAATTGAAAATAACGAAACATTTTAACTAGCGCAACACTTTTGCGATGTGCATATTTTTGCATACTTAGTTTCTGTATAAATGGTTTAATACCATTGGATGATTGACGTTGACATTAGTGTCTCACACTGTATACTGTTCCTTCCAATATTTAGTGGCTGCGCTTAATTTCTTCTCAATTAACACAAACTTAAGGGTGAGTTTTTCAATAAGTCAAACATTAACTAGTTTTTATGTTTTTTAGTAACTAGCCGACGACTGAACAATACATCTTGAATCTCCAAAAATTCCAATTTACACACAATTAACAAAACTGTGGTCTTCAGAGTCAGATTGTATTATCTGTGACAGGAAATGGCTACAGGGATCTTTGTGCAAATATCAAAATGAATTTAGAAAATCTTATATTTAAATACGGTCAACGGTCTTGAATTTGTGGTCTGATTTTTTTATTTTATTAGATTTGTTTTAATGTACAAAAACAATTCAAACACTTGAACCTAAAACTAGGCTAAAGTCAGTGAACGGCATTGCTATGTTGTTGCAACAGAAATGTCCTAGCTACATGCACACAAGCACCATGATGAAGCTGAGAATATCAAAGATCTTACCATGTCAACTCTTTCTTCACCTTACTGTGCGAAGAAGCAGTGCTTTACATCCTTTGCGGCTCAGTGATCATTTATTCGGAAGGATATGTAAAAAGTAGAACTATTGAATTTACATTACAGCGTAGTTTAAGGCTCCTTGAGCTGAGTCAGTCCGAACAGTATTGGAATGCTCTGAATGAGCTGCTGCGTCTTGTTGCCTCTGCTCAGCTTTATCAGTGCTGGGACCTTTCAGGATCCTCTGATCCACTGTCTGGTCCTCAGCATGTTTTTCAGTATGATGATGTGGAGAAATGTCTACAGGGTTGTTACCAGACTGGCCTGTGTTCAATAATTTAGAACTAGCAAGAGGCAGCTATGTTCAAACAGTACAGACTTAACAGCAACATGACAATTTAGTATATTCTACAGAAGGCAGACTTACTGTTGGATGTAAAAGTACATATTTAGCAGTTTTTGACCTTTTTCACAGCAGCCATTTTGACATGAAATAATAGGGTAAATACAGGTCCTACCAGTGATGGTAATTAAGGTTCTGTTCCATTCAGATCAGTCATGGTGCTGTCATTGTGCATGTTGGCTCACTGGAAAGGCTCTGCTACTCTAAATGGAACAGGACTTTGATTAGTATCATTTACCTACTATTTCATGTCAAAATGGCTGCAGTGAAAAAGGTCTATTACTCCTTTTTTACGTAGTAGTTTTGTATATCAGAAATCATATTTGTATATGTGGAAGTTTGCTTAAGACAACAATCCGTAAGGAGCATTAAAGATATTTTGAGTAATAATAAATCTGCAGGTTTGCATTTCTACACATGCAGGGACAGACTTGTAATGAAAGAAAATGTTAAGAGCGACTCCACCTCAAGGTAGTAGGGCTTTGCTAGCACCCTGCTTTTAAAGTGGCTCACCCAGATTTAGTCATTATTTCGGACAAGAAAATCCACTGGATTTGACCTTCAAGTGTTCTCTCAATTGTCTTTTTACTTTTTAAATGCACAAAATGTATTGGGATGGATCAATTTGTCACTGCACTCTCAGAACCTGACTGCAGATTGATTAAATCTTGTTTTCTTTTTTTGTGTATGCTTGCTCAGTAGTTTTGTAATTCAGTAACTTTTTAGACAAGGACCATTTTCTCAGAGCTCATGTGTTTCATGTCAGTGTAAATTAGTTGGTCAGTAACGTTATAAAAGTTCAGATTGTGCTCATGTTCTGTAGTTACAGGTTATGATCAGTTTCCAGATGTTTAAACCAGCAACATCAATAATATCACATTTAAATATAGATTTTATTACACATTAGACAATTTTTTTACTCGATGCTAATGCTTTAATTCCCCTGTCATATTTGTTCAGTTTGAATTATTTGTGCTAATAATTTCAGTAAAATGTACCCCAAAAAAAGAAATGTATTTTAAAATCTGCAGGAATCCATTTGAGTTTTTCAGAGTGCTTTTGATGTTGCTGTTTGTCTTCTTGTATTTTCAACTCCACTGATTTTGTCTTTGTCACACTAAAAATAACCTAAAATATTTTTGTAATTTGTTTTATGAAAGAGATATGCAGTATTACAGAGCTAAGTAAGTACCGCACATTTCACATGACCACCGATCGCCCGCTATGTTTTACCATTATTTTAGTTGAGTGTGTTTCCCGTTCTTGAATGGAAATAAACGTTTCCCTTGGTGTAGTGGCTGTGTTCTGCGTTCATATGCAACAATACTGCATTATTAATTGATTGTATGTCAGTGAATGTTAACCAGTGGATGCCTGAAAGGAAAGAAAGTTTAACAATCTCAAATTACAGCATGTTTTGATTGATTTGAAGAAAATCTGAAATGTACATTATCTAATTAGGTATTTTCTTTTAGGGAGTACTCTTTGTACTATTGGATTTCAATAAAGATTGGGGGACTCACATGAGACAAATTTTAGAGGGTGGTCAAATTCAAACCAGCATAGTCCAAGATATCTTTCGTTTCTGGGCCATGTTACAGAAACACTACTACATTTCCCATAAAACAACTTGATAGCATCTCTTAAGCAACCCCACAAGCAAACCACGGACCAGTTTATAACGCAGGCTTCTGTTAGAAATACTACTTCCCCAAGCCAAAATATGACATCATTAGGGGTTTTTGACTAGAGTTAAATTATAAAACCTGTGGAGTTTAACACTGATGCAACAATGCAACAATCCTATGGTATAATAAGAGTGAGGGGGCAATAATGTGCCAGCCTGGGCCGTGGGCATTGATGAATCAGGGGTTTTATCTGAATGGGATCAAGACCTTGGCAGGGTGGCAAATGCACCAAATGCCGGCTCATTAGAATGACAAAAGAGTGAATTGGATTGAGGTTTTTAAAACAGCCATGTGTCTCTGTGTCAGCTGTCTGTGTGCAGGATGAACGTTATACTGTTTAGAATGATTTTTCAGCAGAGGTAGTGTTAAGATTTGAAAGCAACCTTTCAGATGTGTGTAATGTTGGACTGTAATGCACAATATTAGCCTCTAATACACCCAAAAAATGTACCTCAAAAACTATATCAAATTTAAAATGGGCTACCAAATGATGTGTAAAACCTTTTTTCTGATTTAATTAACAGCAACAGATGCTAATCTTGTACAAGCACCCCGAAATTTCCTGTGACATCAATACATTCTGGGGGCCCCTGAAAACACCTCACTTAGGGCCCATGCTTTATTGTACTTTATTACCATTTATTAAACTGAGGAGTGGGGTCCATCTGCCGTGCATTTGTGTGCTTCTATATAATGTACCATTACTGCTCTCCCACACAATCAAGAAAAAATGATCATTTGAAACAAATATACCCAACAAAAAGTTATGTTCGTACGGAAGCGTATCGCAGTCGCTTGAAAAATTCTGAAAAATGTCTGCACCTGGACGCGGGTGGAGTTTATAATAATGCACTGCAGTGAGGATACAGGCTTTTCATAGAGACAGGAGTATGATGCAGATTTATCTGTTACTTAGGGAGACCATACGTTTCATTGATAAACCACAAAAATGTCGAGTAATATTAGTGCCTGTTCTCAGCTGTTCTCCTGTGTCCACACACACAGGAGAACAGCGGCGAATAGGTACCAGAGAGTGAAGAATAGAGCCCTTGCTGGAGGCTGGATACAGGATTTGGGTTAGACTTAGGGGGGCTGAGAGCTGGCCCTTGGCATCAAGAGGTATCCTGTTAATCTGGAAAAAAAGCAGAATTGTTTTTTCAAGTGAATGCATTACGCCTCCGTACATTAAAGCTTTAATTAATAATTATTAGTATACTTAACATGCTGACTGCACACCTATTACTATTATTATTATTATTATTATTATTATTATTATTAATAATAATAATAGTAATAGTAATAATCATAATTCGTTCAACTAGATGAGGAAAGTTTAAATGTACCACTCAAATAACAGGTTTACAGTTTTAGATTTGTGTTCTGGTTCTGAATCCCCGCAGTATATGTGCAGAAAATGGAGACAATTCTCTGTTAAGCCTCTCTAATTGAATGTTGTTGCTGCATCTTTCAGAAGCTGCATCTATATAAAGTTTTTAATAAATTCCGTGCAGCACCAGAGAGCTCACATACAAGGCACATACAGAGAAACACTTTGTTACTTTATTTTATTTACATTCAATTATTTGTTTTTGGTAGTTTAATGTAAAATTTGGGTTTTTCTGTGTTGCAAAATTAAAATGGCTTATATGCTGTGGTGCACTTGCCACCAATCCAAAGTGGTTGACATGTACGACATTATTTTCATTGGTTCACTAAAAAATATTGATAACTGTGCACAAAAGCACAACCAGCCTGATTAAATTAGTTAAACTAGTTAAACTAATTTAGCTGCTCTGCACCCCGTGGCCACCAGGGGTCGAGAGAGAGAGAGAGAGAGAGAGAGAGAGAATGCAATATATATACACACAAAATATATAATGTACATATATATATACATACACGAGATATGATCTATAGCATATGTATAATAGATACTTGACTATACAAGAAAGATATACAATAAATAATATAAATATAAATACGTAAATAGAAATGTGAAAAAAAGATGAGAAGCTTGTATAAATATGATATATAATAGTAGTCAGTCTGTTGGCTTCCTGCCTTGATGCCCGCACCCCAGGACACCGCAGCAAAGAAGATGGTGCTCGCCACAGACTGATAGAACATCTGCAACATCCTGTTGCAGACATTGAAGAACCTGAGCCTCCTCAGGAAGTAAAGCCGGCTCAGGCCCTTCTTGTAAATGGCCTGTATTTGTGGACCAGTCCAGTTTATTGTCTAGTGTGACATCCAAGTACTTATATGCCGACATCATATCCACATCGGTCCCGCCGATGCTGACAGGAGAGGGCAGGGGCTTGTTCCTCCTAAAATCCACCACCATCTCCTTTGTCTTTGCCACATTCAGCTGCAGGTGGTTCTCCCCACACCACTTCACAAAGCGATCAACTAGGTCCCTGTACTCAGCCTCCCCTCTGCCCTCCACACCATAGCTGTATCATTAGAGTATTTTTGCAGATGACAGGACTCAGTGCAGTACTTAAAGTCTGCAGTGTAGGTGGTGAAGAGGAAGGGAGACAGTACAGTTCCCTGGGGGGCCTCGATGTTACTAATCAGATGGTCAGACACACAGTTCTTTAATTTCACAAACTGCGGTCTGCCCGTCAGATAGTCATCGAACCAAGTGATGAGGGGAGCACCCACCTGCGTGTTCTCCAGTTTGGCCTTCAGCAGTCTGGGCTGGATGGTGTTGAAGGCGCTGGAGAAGTCGAAGAAAATGACGTGGACTGAGGAGTTGGGTCTGTCCACTGAGGAGTAAGCCTTCTGCAGTGGGTAGATCATGGCATCATCAACCCCCACATGGGGCTGATATGCAAACTGCAGGGGGTCTTGCTATGCGCACACTAATGGTCTGAGGAATGAGAAACAGATGAGCATTATTACACAAGTTCCCTAATTGGTTGTCTATTTATGATTTTGGGATTGTTTTGTTTTTTTCTTTATCTGAAAGAATCCCATAGAGCAATAATTTGCAGCTCCTTAAGTTTTTATGTACAATTAATATCCTCATACATGGTGGGATGGTGGGGGGGCAGGGGCGGTTATGGAATCTTTCTGAATGAAAAGGACACAGATAACGCCGGTTGTTTTGCTGATACTGTGAGCATTGACCCCTGGGTCACTAGCGCCCTGTGGTGTTTTGATCAATAGTGATGAACATGTGAAAAGAGGACAACAATAACTCATCATCACCAGTGCGTCACTATACATAAACAGGTAGGTTTTATAAACACCAATCTGGATGACAATACTTTATGCTGTGCCATCACACAGCTACTTAATATAAAAGGACAGCGGCACAACGAGCGTCTATTGAGCGCCAGTTCGTCCCCCACTGATATAACAATGGGAAAGGTGAGTTTATTATGTGTCGCTACTGAAAATACAGAATGAAAATGTGTAAGCCCAATGTTTTTTAATATAGTGGGAGTTGTTAATTAATGAGGGCTTTGACCAACATTTGCAGATCATATTCTACGAGGACAGAAATTTCCAAGGTCGGCACCATGAGTCCACGAGCGACTGTGCCGACCTTCACCCCTACTTCAACCGCTGCAACTCCATCCGGGTGGAGAGCGGCTGCTTCATGGTGTATGAGAGACCCCACTATTTGGGCCACCAGTACTTCCTCCGCAGGGGGGAGTACTCTGACAACCAGCGCTTGATTGGAATCAACGACTGCATCCGCTCCTGCCGCATGATTCCCATGGTAAGCCTGAGATGGTATGAAAAAGGTATCAACGCAATCAATTAGGAAAAAAGGACTGATCCGTGTGGACACTGATTTACTGCAGTATAAAAGCAACAGGTCAGGGAAAGAACACCTATAATACTTGCAATCAAACTCAAGTGTTATCAAGCAGTATAACAGAAAAAACGAGTCAAACAGTAAAACAGAATCTTAACATTTGACCCTACTACCTTTATTTTAAGGCTTAACTAGAGAAAGAGCATGCAAGACTATCTGAAAACAATGTTCAAAGTACATTTATCAGTTGTACTAATATGTATCAGTTCATACACACTCTGTAAGAAAACTCATTAATAATGGCCTTTTATGAAATTGAAAAGTAATTCATTATATAAAACCAAGTCAGTCAAATCTGAAATGCAACAATAAACTTTGCATGAGCTAAACAAACGGATAAAAGATGAAAATGTATGATACAGTGGATGGCATTGACAAATTAACAGTCTAAGACTAGTTTGATAAACTTTTTGGAACATAAATCCTCAACTTCCCCAAAGCAAAAGCATCCTTCTGAGCTGGTAGAAGATGAAATAGATTTAGCACACTCATATGACTCAGCTTGGTTGAACTCCTCCCATTTGGTACTTTTGGTATGTGAATTAAAAGAAACTTCTGGTCAATACTGCTTTTGCAAAAAATTCTTGGTGTAACTATTTGTTAAACTGCAGATAAGTAGGTGAGGATTAACGCTTCATAACTATTCAGGGCTACTTTTTATGCTCACAATCACAAACTGCTACTGTATAGCACAGTAAAGTTAGACAAAACATACACTTATTGACTTTTAAATGTTCTTTCTGCAGCACCGTGGTTCCTACAAAATAAAACTGCATGAGCGTCCAGACATGGGCGGTCAAATGCACGAGGTGAGCGACGATTGCCCCAACGTCCAGGACCGCTTCCATATGTCTGACATTAACTCGTGCAATGTGGTTGACGGCCACTGGCTGCTCTACGACCAGCCCAACTACAAGGGAAGAACCTACTATCTGAGACCCGGCGAATACCGCAGATACAGCGACTGGGGCGGCGCCAGTCCAAGGATCGGCTCGCTCAGGCGAATCACTGACTTTAACTAGAAGTCTTCCAAATCTTCTTCCTCTCTCTGTTCTCAATAAACATGCTGGGCTTAAACTGTGTGGATGTGTGTCTCTGTATCTAAAACATGAAAACGGTGTGTTGCCATCATGCATCATGAAATCGTGGTATCAGCTTAGAACAATTGTCTGAACTCTTGCTGCTTACTCCACTTAAAAACTCAAGCAATGAGATCCAATTTGTCACTCTGCAAACATTTAAACTCAAACAGCCTCAAGAACACATAAGAAGCCGTTAACAAAAGTGTTTATTGGATAGATTTATTGACAGAACTTCACATAAACAGTGTCTGGACATCAGCTTTTCTCACATAGTGATACGTTTGATGGATCCCACCCTAGAACTCATGCCTCCCCACTCATTAAACCTCCTGTATTCACCGGGGCGCATCAGATACTGTCGTCCCCTGTAATTGGGATGCTCGTAGAAGATCCAGTAACCGTCCATCACTTTGCAGGAGTAGATGTCGTTCCAATGGAAGCGTTCGTGCAGGGAAGGACAGTCATCGGTCAGCTCCATCATCTGGCCTCCAAACTCTGGGCGTTCGTAAATCATCATTTTGTGAGAGCCTTGGTGCTGCAGAAAAGACAAGGCGATCTATTAACCTCTAGAGCAGTGAAGGATGATCAAAAGACACCTATTGTAAGGTGATGCCTGCTGGAACCGACTGAGGCTTACCGCAGGGATCATACGGCAGGATCGCACACAGTCGTTGAATCCCATCCAGCGCTGGTAGTCTGGATAGTCGCCCCGCCTCAGGAAGTACTGGTAGCCCATGTAGTTGGGTCTCTCATAGACCATCCAATCACCGCTGTCCACTCTAATGGAGTTGCAGCGGCTGAAGTGGGAATGCAAGTCAGAGCATTCGCTGCTGCACTCATAGGAGCGACCCTGGAAGTTCTTGTCCTCGTAGAAGATGATCTGGAAAGATCAATCGAGCGATTTTCAAAAATGTGGATAATGCTAGCTCAAACGAAGAGAAATGTGCATACTATACCAGGTGGAAAAAGGGCTTCCAGTTCCCCGACTTCGGCTGATTAATCCAAGCAGGTATACAGAAGCACAAAAGACACACAGCAAAACAAGCAGCCTTACCTTGCCCATTGTGTCGGCTAACCGTCATCACACTAGCAGCAGCCGTGGGCTCCATGCTGCCTTTATAACCCAGGGATGACCCATGTCATTGTGATTCAGAACAATGACCGGGCTCGTCAGCTCTTTCTCACAGAACAAAATTTCCTTTTGTTTTGTGTGGTCAATGAAGCAAATCAGCTGTTTTCCTTTGAGCAGAGGCTTCCCTTTCAATTTGCCCTGGTTTATAGAGGACTAATACAGTCTATAAATAATAATAACAAATTAAATGTAAATCAATAAATCTCCAAACATGCATATTGACTACAATGGAAATATTTGTCATTCTGAAAACATTTTTTTTTATTTTGCCATCTCCAATTTACATCAATCTTTATCTTACCACAGTATGGTAACACAACAAAACACATTATACATCTAAATCCAAAATCCAATTTATGTCATTAATGCAGATGATTGTGGTACAGTGCATACAGTAGAAACTCAGAGGTGGCAAAAGTACACAGATTATTTATATAAGTATAAGTACAGATAAAAAGTACAGGGTCTGAAATGTATTCAGAGAATAAAAGTAAAAAGTACTCTCGGTTTCTCTGAAGGACATTTCTGGACTGTTTCTGTGCAAAGCTAACTGAAACGTCTGTCATAATGTAGCAATGCCCCAAAGATGCCACAATGCTGGTCCTTTATATTTGAGATCAACATTTGAAATTACTGGAGCACAACATTTTAAATTTAACACTCTGCTGGAGGGAATATTCAACATGTTGCTGCTTCCTGAAGTCCTGTCCAGTAAACACAACCACTGCCTTGCCTCAGTGCACAGCAGCAGCTTTTATATGATTTACACTTCAGACTGTTACAATGTTCACAGCAGCACAACAACTTGTTTTACTTACTCGTTCTTTCAGTTTTGTTTTTGTTCCCCCTCCCCCATATTGTGATATTCACTATTGACTGAGCTCTAGAATGAATTTATCTCAGCCTGCATGTGACAGATTTGATACAGTATAGAGCTGCTCAACAAAGAGCAGTGGCAGCATCCAGTGTAAACAGTAGCTGAACACACATGCATTGAGATATTTAAGTCAGTCTGACAGTAAATAAATTTAAAAAGCCAGTTTTTATTTTGCAGTACATCTGGAAATCACTGGTGTCATCTCCTGTTTAAAAGTAGTATTGCCTGATTCAAGGTTATTTTAATGTTATTTACAACTCAGGGTTATAACAGAATTCAGATTTAGTTCCTTTTGTGCTACTCGTAAAACAAAATAAAGATTCTTCTGTCGTAAGCCGTGCACATCCCATGCCAGTGTGATCCAGTCTGTGATTCCCAGGAACCAAAAACTGTTCATCTCCCCCACCTCAGGGGTATATATTTACATGCATGCACATACTGACCTATACATATCAGCTGTACAGTGTACAGTGTGATATAAAGAATTTGAACTTATAGTCAACATACAGTACAAGTTTATAATATTTGGGGGTGGCCTAGGTTCACATCTGTTTCCTGTCTACTGTCAAAGTCATAAAATTCCCTATAAATACTAATAGTCCTTATTGACTACTAAGTCCTTATTAAATGTCTTCACTTGTTTCAGACAAGAAGGCAGTTCACAGTACAAGCAACTGTTAGCGGCCAGCTAGCGACACAATTGTGCTGCAGGGAATATTTTTTAGTTAGCATTCCATTTGTTTGACTATTTATTGTGACTATCCACTTTGCACAAGACAGAAAATGTATTAAATGTTTAAATTGCTCAGATACAAGTTCATGTTTAAAGCATCAACTGGTTGGTAAACACCAATAAATAGGATGAACTATATTAGCCGGCTGCCAGCACCAGTGTTGGGGAGTGCCTAGTTACATGTAACATAGTAATGGATTGTAGAATATAACATTTACTCTGCTTCTTTACATCTTTTCCCTGTTCAGGAACGCCTTCTTGTGGAATATTTTGGGACAACTTGGGTCAGCAAAGCTGTTGGGACCAATCTTTCTGTTCAGCTCCATCAGCGGTAGGATAGCTTACAGAGAGCTGACTCTTTAAGGATCTTTTCATTGTGCAGTATGTGCTCAAATTTTGGTGTTTTTGATTGGTTCTCTCGTCTGCCCATCTAATCAATGTGCATTGCTCTAGTTCGGCAACCTGAGTCTGCCACGTCCGTGACCAGCCACCTACGTCAAGGAGGGTGGCCGCTTTTCAAATATATTGTCCATCATTTGTTAGAAAAGTAATCAACTTAATAAGGTATATTACTTTGATGAATAGTTACATTACTTCTGACATTTCTAACTGTATTCAGTAACCTATTACATCTTAAAAGTATCACATGCCTGATTTGTAATTGGTTTAAATGACCAGTGTGTAGGATTTAGTGGAATCTAGTGGTGAAGTTGCAAATAACAGATAGATATTGCAGCTAATAAGCACCACTCACGTCTGTATTTGACAACCTGGGAATGAGAACAGGCTGTGCAGTGTGAAGGAAACATGGCTGATGTCCATCTTTAGATAATTACGGCTCATTCTAAGGTAACAAAAACCCGATTTCTATTCTCAGGTGGTTATACGCTTATAAAGACATACCTGAATATTATGTTCCATTTCTATGAATGTATGTTGCACAATGGACCTTTAACATAAATGTAGGAAATACTGGAAAATGTTGGCATTTTATTTTTCATTATTATTTCTCATTATTTTTAAGTTTCTGTTTTTGTTGCCTTGCACATATATCATCCTCTACTTTTGCATTTTAGCCAATTTTAAGGAAAACAACCGTATTTTTAGCCTTTCCTATTAGTGGATTCAGATATTTGGACCCCACTGTATGTTTATCTGTAAAACTCAGTACCACTGATGTGGCAAAACAATGAGTTATCGCAATTGTGCCCAGTAATAATTCACACAATATGCAGCAAATCATTTTATTTTGCGCGTCACACAGTTAAAGAGGTAAATTCATTGTGGCTGGATTGCACAGTACAACTGGAAAAACATGCAAACAATGCACAAATCACAGTTTCAGGATAAAAATAAGGCTCCGTCTTTTTGCCTCTCAAAAACAAAACAACAACTTGTTAATATTCATAAAACAAAGCATCTGCAAAACTTATCATCTTAATATAAATCATTAGACAGTTTCTGTGATGCGTCTGATTGAATTGAACCTCACATCATCACTGCTGATCTCTCTGAGGTTCTTGTACTTTCCTGGTCTCAGATAAAACATCCTGCCCTCGTAGTTGGGCTGCTCAAACATCAACCAGTAGCCTTCCATCACGTTGCAGGACTGCATGTCAGACATGTGATAGTGATCCTGGATGGAGTCGCAGTCCTCGGTCAGTTCATGCATCTGCCCTTCAAAGTTGTCTTTTTCATAGATCCTCAGCTTAAAGGGTCCCTTGTGCTGTTAAAGAACAAAATGTCAAATGGAAATAAATATAAATAAATATATGCATGGATCTGACAATGTCATGGAGTCATGGTGCTGTTTAAAGTAGTACCTAGCTGCTGGGATGTTAACACCTTAAGTGCCAAAAAAGCTAACTCTGTTGAGGAATATGCTTGTTTGCTATGTCAGATCAGAAGCAAAATATCAGCTCAATCTCTAAATTTCCACTACATCTCATCTACAGAAAATCTACATTACAAAATGCAGAGTTTGCCCCGGTGTTAACAAAACCCTAGCAGTAGCCTACATCTGAGGGTTTTGTTAACACCGGAGCAAACTCTGCTTTCAAAACAGCTTCATGTCATTCTCATCCTTCTTGGAAACAGTAGTTTATATTCTTAGTGGATTTTGCAAGTTGTCATGGAGATATCAAGATTTTAAAATACAATTGAAAGCTCATAAAAAACCTAGGATGATGTCAAGCTTTGGGGTTCTTGAAAAGGCGTGTTCAATATCCCCAAGATATCTCCTGGAAATATCACTACTGGATGCACAGAGGTGAAATTGATCTCAGCATTCTCATCTGATTCCAGGTAAGACAGCAACCAAACATATTTCTCCTGAGACTATCCCTTTACATCACTGACTGCCATTGTCTCTCTTTGGTTGGTGATAGTGTGCATATATTTACCACAGGGACAACACGGCAGGACTGGATGCAGTCATTGAAGCCGATGGTGTTCTGATACTCTGGGTACTCTCCCGTGGTCAGGAGGTACTGCTGGCCCGTGTAGTTGGGCTGGTCGTAGACCATGAACGTCCCGCTCTCCACCCTGCAGGAGCTGCAGCGGCTCAGGTGAGAGGCGATTTCAGAGCAGTCACTGATGCACTCATACGAGAGGCCCTGGAAGTTTCTCCCCTCGAAGAAGATAATCTAAAGAGAAAGACACAGATTGTGTTTGGGTCCAACATTAGAAAACAACCAGTGCTAAATGTTCAAGTGAGTTCTGTGATTATCATAAGATACCCCCTTAATGCAAATCACACTGTATTGCATGGCAGTAGTTGTGCTGTAGTATTTTGGTACAGTATATTACAGTATAAAATCATGATTAAGCTTGTATGCATGTTAGTGTCTGTCTCCTGCACTGGCTGGTGCACTGATCTGCAGCCGTCATTACCTTTCCGCTCATGGTCACGCTATTTGATTTCTGTTGTTCTTCTCACTGGCGCGCTGCCTTTTATGCATCATGTGACATCAAAAGAATCTGCGCCTCAATTGTACAAAATAACTGAGTCAGCTCATCAGCATGGAAGTCCCTACTGTATTATGCATCAAAGCTGTGAACACTGCAGCCGCCTAGATTAAACAGTAGTGGTGCAGATTTCACAATAACAAAGCTTGTTATTGCATTACTTTTGTATTTTTGTGCCCTCAATTTTATAATAGGACATGTTTATGTTTATAGAACGGTGTGCAACAGACAGACATTTAGACAGATGCTAGGTTAAATAAAATGCTTTAAATGTTTTAAAACTAAATATGTAACCTTTGAGATAGGAAATAACACAATCCTCTCACAAATCAAAAGTTAAATTTATAAGAAATAAAATGCACTCTTACTCACTTCAATACATTCAGGATTTTTGCTGCTACAGCCTTACTTGGGATATTTTTGGGTAACAGACATTACTAAGTAAATTCACTGACTACACTCTCTCATATACTTTTGCAACTATAACATTATGTTTAATTATGTTACAAATACACACTAAAGGTGAATAGGGAAACATTTTTAACTCATATCACCATGAAATATCCCCCGTTGATTACTTAGATTAAGACAATTATTTTTTGTTTTACACATTTTCTGAAATTCTGGTATTATCTACTTAAAAATGTGCTATTTTGCATATATTTCCAGAAAAGATATCTCTTTTTATTACTGTATATACCTTCAGAATAAAGATAGGACTAAAGATAAGAATTAAACAAAATGAAATAAATTTTGCAAGACACTGTAGGTAAATAGGGAAATATATATCACAATTAAACTTCCCTAGTGAATTACTTGCTAGTTTCCTGAAATCTTATGTTTAAATATACAAATGAGGCATTATCTAATGCTAGCTTTTGGTGATCTAGATATACAAATAGGCAAAGTATAGTAAAATAAACAACAAAATGGGTATTTTGGGTGTTTTTTTCCCAGTAGTCTGAAAGAAGACCTGTTATAGAAGCAAAAACCCCAAAATCTCAAAATTGACCAGTGCATTTAGCCTGTAAAGTCTCACCTTAAAGTTTTGCACACAAAGATTAGTGTAAACCCTTTTGTGCAACTGAGAGCACTGGCATTCCTGCCCCAGCAGCAGTTTGTCCAAAACTTTGTTGTAAAACATCATCTCATTGGTGCCCAAAGGAGAATAATTGGAATATTACTTTGATATATTTTCTAAACACATTCATGCTCATAAGAGGATGAAACTTTTCTATTTTGGACACTTCATGAGTGTTCCTCTACCACCACCCTCAGGAAAAAATGTCACCTTTGCACCCAAAATATCAAATAATATAACATGCAGATTGTACGTCAGGCAGATAAATCTTTTTGAATTTAACCACAATTCTAGAGCTCATTATGCACCACACTTGAAGAATGATTTTAACTTCTTGTTTTCAAAATGAAATTCCACCACTATGTTTTGAATTTTTAGTGGTGCTATTCTTCGTTCGTCTGAAACAAACCCAGCATGCCAAATTAGTGTGATGCTCTCAATACTTCAAATCCTATTTACCAACACTACATTTTCTTTTTGGCAGTGGTGAAATACATATAAATATCCATTATTATTATTATTATTATTATTATTTTTATTACTTATACTGTGTATTTCCATGATAAAACTATGCACTCAAAATCACAAGCAGCACTGTGGTCAACTTTTAACCAAGGAGTTCATGTATGATCATTTAATGGTGTCTAATCTCTTCATTTTATTTTGCACTTCAACTAGCTGGTAATCAACAAGGAGCAGCTGCAATAATGGTGGGAAACATTTATGGGGGATCAACCTTGGCAAAAAAATAAAAAGTGAGCCACCGAAACATTCAGAATTGAGGTGGAGGTGAGTTGACTGTTCAAGATCTTCAGGCATACATGATATACACGTAGTAATATATAGTAATCAACTTAAAAGTAAAATGTGGAAGAAGGACAAGATTATTAACTCCCTATATTTTGGTATCAACCAGGCCTCTATTCACCGCTTTTAACTGGTACAGAATGCTGTGGCCAGACTCCTATGCAGATGTTAAAAAAGGGAACATATTACCTGTCAAGTATCGAATCCCATCCAAGACTCTTCTGTTTGAATATGAATCCCTGCGTGCTCTTTTATATTTATATGTGGCCGATAAAGTTCAGGTAAGCCCCCTCAGATCCACACATCAAAGGCTAATAACCACAACCAAAAACTTTTTGTAGAGACTCTGGGATAGTCTCCCTGAAAACTAATAAGTACTTATGTGTTGTGATTTTGCTCAATATTTTTTGTAAAGCACACATAGTGCTCTAATACATTTGAACTTTACAATTTAAATTTTCACTGAATGCATCAGCATACCAAGGCAGACAAGATAAATCGATGACTGGCTTTATTTAGATCAAAATGTCAGTGTGTTCCTCTGACTTCTAGAGGGACTTGAACCACTGCTAATCTACAGAGCCTGTAATTTCACTCCACATTAAGAAAACAGCAAGAGACTTCAAAATCAAATTTTTATTTTTGACCCACAGTATCTTTTAATAAACGACAATCAGCATATATCCATTATGCGTTTGGTGGAGCTGATTCTCGTCATGTTCATTCCCAGCTCTCTGAGGCTCCTGTACTCTCCTGGCCCCACGTACAGCATCCGGCCTCTGTAGTTGGGCAGCTCAAACATCAGCCAGTGGCCGTCCATCACATTGCAGGACTGGCAGTCAGACATGTTGTAACGATCCTGGAGAGACTCACAGTCGTCCATCAGCTCATGCATCTGGCCTTCGAAGTTCTCACTTTCGTAGATCCTCATCCTGTACTGTCCCCTGTGCTGATGGAGGAAGACAAGACATGATGTCAGTCCATGGGTTTTCTAGACTACCTTTCTTGCTCTAGAGTCGGTTCTAGAAGCAGGATTCACCAGTCTATCTCAGGCCATTTAGTTTCCAATTCTGGTAAAGTGCGTGTCTTTTGACTGTGGGTAGAAATTGGAGCTGCTGCAAAAATACCACGAGATCTAGGAAGAGGATATCCTACTATAGTAGACAAATATGAAACCAGATTGTTATATAAATTACAATGAATAAAACATGATAAGTACAAATAACTACCAAATGTCTTACCATGGGGATCATGCGACAAGAGCGAATGGTATCCATCACCGCCATGCCCATCATGCCCATCACGCAACCCATTCGCTGAAAATCCGAGAATTCCCCTCTCCTCAAGAAGACCTGGTTACCCATGAAGTTTGGGCGGTTGTACACCATAAAGCACCCATCTTCCACTCTGCAGGAGTTGCAGCGGTTCAGGTGCATGTGGATGTCAGAGCAGTCACTGCTGCACTCATAGGACTGACCCTGAAAGTTCCGGTCCTCATAGAAAATAATCTGCAGCAAAAAACATACAGACAACATATGAAAATATTAAAGAATATACAAAAGAATAGGATTTTAGATTTATTACTTGGATGGAAAAGACTGTTACTGTGGAGCAATGCCTTTTTAACCCTTGCATGTCAATTTGCATCATGCTGTATCTGCAACCTTAACCTTAACAAATAATTTATTACTACTTCTACAGCACAAGATGTTTCAACATTATACAAACATATGATAAATAGTACCCTGCCCATGGTGACGGTTTCAGTTTTTACAAATGATGCCGAACCAGCTTCACTTTTATATAGAATCCTCCACAGACCACCTTACACACTTTGTATGAAACATCATGACTCATCACAAGGTTCACGTGGGCCTGCATTCATTTTTTATAGCGCACCTCAATAGTTATTATTGTATGTTCAATGTAGTTTTGGGAGGTCATGTCAGGTCATAAGACAAGCAAAACATTTCTCAAATCACATATAGTTTTTTTTAACACTACAACAACACTATTTTCAAACACTACGTGGCCAAAAGAGTGTTTTTTGGAGTCCACAATGTATCCTGCCATTAGTGTTACAATAAAGTTCAGTGTCATCTTCAGAACTGGTATTCCCACCACATAGATTTTTACAGAAGAGATATGAATTAAATAGTTGAAGTTGCTGGAAGCAAGGATCAAACCCAATATTCAGTCACAATAACTATTGCAGATTCTGACATACAGTAACTGCCTGTAGTGCTGCTCTGTGCCACAATATAGAGTGATGACTCAAAGGTTTCAGCACAAGCCATGTGGAAATACTACCGCTGTGTAATGTATAAAAAGGGTAAGGGTGGATGTTGAAGCTATACATCTGATATAAGCTCACAAATCATGGCCATGGGGAGGGTAAGTGAACTTTCAAATCATCTAAGGCACAATAACATAAAAAAAGTGAAAATGAATAGGCAAAATCAAAAAGTCAAACGAGCTTTGACAACGACATTTGTTGTTTCATTTCACATTGTTTTTTGCAGATCATATTCTATGAGGACCAGAACTTTCAGGGTCGCTCATACGAGACCAGCAATGACTGCCCTGAGCTCACCTCCTACTTGAGCAGGTGCAACTCCTGCAGGGTGGAGAGTGGCCTCTTCATGGTCTACGAGAAGCCCAACTTCATGGGCCATCAGATGCTGGTGAGGAGGGGCGAATACCCAGACAACCAGCGCCTGATGGGAATGAATACGAGCGACTGCATCAGGTCCAGTCGCATGATCCCCATGGTAGGTGGACGGGTTAACTTCCTTCCTTCATTGTTGCAATTCTTGGCATTAATACAAGGCTGCTGCATTGGTGACACCAACCAAAAAGACTAAAACCTTCTAGTAAGTCTTTTGCATTGCAATTTTTTTAACTTGCAAAAGAGAGATTCTGTAAATGAACTGAGCTAAAAGAACACTGTCCTCCATGTTGAACTAAGTTGAACAAATGCAAAAAGCGTACATGAATCTCTACAGATACTTCAATAATTCCCTTGCCAGAATTCAACTGTATCTCACAGCCTTCAACAAATGGAGTTGTGATCTTGTAACCTAAGTACCAAACTTTGATTATGTGATAACTCCACAATTTCCTGAACAGGTTAGTACATGCATCTTGAGTTTAGAATATTTTCTCTGGAATCTCTGGATGTTTGTTCACATGCCAATGATGGCAGTGATTGTGCTGAGGATTTGGTGAGATAGCCAACCACAGCCGTTCTCGGCTTCCTACATCGCTAATGTGTAGATCTAAAGGTTGGGTTCAATTTTTATTTTCAGTTCAGATGTCGACAGTCATGTCTCTGACGTTTCTTCATCCACAGCACAGGGGACCCTTCCGAATGAGGATCTATGAGAGGGAGAACTTCGGTGGCCAGATGCACGAGCTGATGGACGACTGTGACAATGTGATGGATCGTTTCCGCATGTCTGACTGCCAGTCCTGCAACGTGATGGAGGGCCACTGGCTGATGTTCGAGCAGCCCAACTACAGAGGCAGGATGATGTACTTCAGGCCAGGAGAGTACAGGAACTTCAGAGAGATGGGGATTAGCAACATGCCAAAGTTCAGCTCCATCAGGCGCATCATGGACTCCTGTTAAGTCAAACTCTAAATGTACTGGGTGGAAAAATAAAGCAAGCTGAAATACAACAATTTTCTTCCTGCCTGTTTTTCAAAGTAAATAGTCTCCCACTGGTTGGCCCTGTGCAGCTGTTTACTTTCATTTCATGCGAGCATGTTTTGAAAATTGAATTGCAGTTTGAAATAATTGTCATCCATCAGTGAACTTTTAATAAATTTTTCTGATTTTCATTTTATTTTTACATGGTAATGCAGTTGTCCCATACAGAGCCCCGGAGTGGCAAAAAAAAAAAAAAAAAAACACATATATGTCGAGGCAACACTTTACTACATTGAGAACTTGAAATATGCAAAATATAATTCATCCCTATTTTTTGGTTAATTTGTCAATAAACTGACTGCCCCAAATGTCTTTTTACACAGAACCATCTGGAAAGTAATTTTTCAAATTGTTTGGAAAAGGTCAGGCACTTTCAAAAAAATCCTTGACGGATAATTAGCTCAGTCATCTGTTTATCACTGTGTATCACAAGCGAACTTCAACAAATCAGATCAATATACCATATAAAGTAGTCAAAGCTTTGCCCAAGCCATTCAGGAGAAGAGCGCAAATATCTTTTCCATCAAGAAAAAAGGCTTCAGTGCCGTTCTCTGCTCTTCCTATATACTCTCACACACGTTGTTGCACACACCTAGCGTTAAACTACAGGCGTAACTCATGCCATAGCTGCCAGTAGTTCCTTAGAGCAGTGGTTCCCAACCTGGGTGTCCCCACTAAGGGTCACCAAAGCTTCAAGGGATGATATCTGGCTCATAGTTGTTCTTTTGATATGTTGTGCACATGTTTTGTTTAACAGTGTTGCGTTATATGTAAAATCTGTTTTCTATCAGGGGAATGTTCCAACAGAGCTGGAGCTTAGGTATGTTTTGGTGCCATACATGGTAAATGGTAAATGGATCTATACTTGTATAGCACCATTCTAGTCTTCCTTCGAGTCTTACTCAACGCCCTTTTACACTACAGCCACATTCGTCCTTTCACACACAGTCACACAGTGATGGCAAAGTCCATCAAACAGAAACTAACTCATTCATGCACATTCACACACCGATGACACAGCATCAGGAGCAATTTGTGGTTCAGAGGAGCCGGGGATCGAACCAACAACCTTCTGATTAGTAGACCTCTACCTCTGAGCCACAGCCTCCTCTTATATATACCTCAAATCATTGGGATAATTATATATTTGGTAATGTCTTATGGGTGAATTGGTTAGATTGACATCACTAAATATTAAGCAGCCCCCAGACTACAGTAGGAGGAAGAGTCTACTGGTACCGGCAATGTGGAATGATAGAGGTGACCTAAGACAGACAAGGCTGACATTAATGCAATATTTAACACATTTTATCAAGACCTTTATAAATCAGACAACCCTGATTAACTAGATATAAGAACCTTCTTGTTGAGTGTAAGATGTCCAGCTCTGTCGTATGAGGGACAGTGTGCAATTGGAGCGAACATAACTGTAGAGGAGATTAAAAAGGCCATTGGGAATTTACATGGGGAAATCACCAGGGGAGGACGGCCTCCCAGTCGAATTTTACGAGGCTTTTTTTTTTTTAGATCTACTTGCCCCAAGACCATGTTGAGTTTTTCAGCATGCAGCAGAGAGAGGATGTCTTCCAGACAGTATGCAAACTGCTAGAATCACTTTGATTCATAAAAAAAGCACAGACCCACAACAATGTTGTGACTACCTAGATCAGGTGGGTTTCATTAAAAATACCTGATAATCTCCGCAGGTTGCTTCATGTTATGTGGCAAGCTGGAAATGAGGCTGACATTACTATAGCTTTCTCACTTGATGAGGAGAAAGCTTTTGATAGGGTATAGTAGTCGTACCTTTTACAAACACTGGACAGTTTTGGTCTTGGTCCCTCCTTTATTAAATGGGTCAAATTACTATATCATAATCCAAAGGCATCAGTGGTAACAAATGGCAGGCCACCTCCCCTTTCCAGCTTCATAGAGGGACAAGACAGGGCTGCCCTTTACCCCCCTTAATCTTTGCCCTGGTACTTGAACCATTAGCAACTGAAATTAGGCAAAATGATTACATAGTTGGCATAAAGGCAGGTGGTGAGGAATATAAATTACTCCTTTATGCGAATGATATTTTGCTACTGTCTAGAAGCCCTGCAACAACCGTGCCACACATTCTCACCTTGATTGACTCCTGTTGTTGCTGTGCACCTGTCTGTCTCTCTCTCTCTCTCTCTCTCTCTCTCTCTCTCTCTCTCTCTCTCTCACCCCAACTGGTTGAGACAGACGACCACCCACCTAGAGCCGGAGGATCTGTCCTAGGTTTCTGCCTTTTAACAGGCAGTTTTTCCTTGCCCTTGTCGCCAAGTGCTTGCTCATGGTGGTACTATTGGGTCTCTGTAAATAATGTTTTAAAGAGTTCAGTCTAGACCTGCTCTATTTGAAAAGTGTCCTGAGATAACTTCTGTTATGAATTGGCGCTATACAAATAAAATTGAATTGAATTGAATTGAATTGAATTGAATTGAATTGAATTTTCAGGCATATCGGGATATAAAATAAACTGGTCAAAGTCTGAGGCAATGCCCCTATCAAGACTATGCCCACCTAGTGTTAGGCAGGGATGGCAGTTTGCATGGCAGCTATCTGGTCCTACGTATCTAGGAATTAAGCTCACTCCACAGCTAGATAACATAATGACCAACAATCTCCTCCCATTAATTCATCAAATAGAGCTTATTTTACCAATTTGGACTAAGCTGGGGCTGTCGCTTATGGGAAAAATGAATATCTTATTGATGGTAATAGTCCTTAAATTAACTATCTAAGCTATATGCTACCATTAAGCTTACCACATGATGCATTATTGAAATATAATGAAGCTGTACACAATTTTTTATGAGTTAACAATAAAAGATACAAATCGGGCAGAGCTCTATGCAGCCATAGAGGACAGAGGCCTCAGCCTCCCTCATATAGACTGGTATCAATACGCCTTTTGTCTGAAACAGTTATCAAAACTATTAATGATAGCTGAACAAGCTCCAATGTGGGTGTCTATCGAGAAAGACCTCAAAATACCCTCACCATGTCCATGCAATTATTAAGCAAACCAATGGAGTTATCCCTACAATAATCCAGGTCTGGCCTTTTCACGGGAGACATAGAGAATATCATACAAGATCATAGGCTCAGATCCCAGTTTTACACATAAAACGTTGTTATGGCATAATACAACACTCAAAATATGCAAAAGAACCTTTGACTGGGCTGGATAAATAAAATTGGGAATCATTTATATTTGGGATTTATTTGACAGAAACCAATGTATGTCTTTTGAACAATTAGGGGGAAAAAGTATACACTCCCAAATAGGGGTGAGTATTGGAAAGAACCTCACGATACGATACGTATCACGATACTTTGGTCACGATACAATAGTATCACCATCTATCACGATATCACGATATTGCGAAAAAAACAGAGATGAAAGTACCTGTATATGTACATCAGATGATATTGATCAGAGGACAAATTGAGTCAAAACTATTTCATTCAAAACAGCCTCTCCATTTTATTAATTTCAATGACATTCACTGAAATAAATATTGAAAATAAAATGCGGTGTTACACACTGTGCAGCGCTAAGAGATGTTTTCACGACTTTCTTCACCTCTTCATACATCCTGGGCACAGTTGTGTTCACCATGTAGCCGCGTTGCGGTATTTTGTAACGTGGCTCCAAACAATGTAGCATCCACCTGAAGCCAACGTTGTCTACCACGCTATAAGGGCGCAAATCTTTACATATGAAATGCACCATCGGCTCTGTGATACGCTGAGCACGAGGTGAGGTAGATGGTAGGAAGTTGTCCTGCGTAGTCTGGTTTGGCTCAATCCGTTTTGGCGGCTGCTTCTGTGCGAATATCTCGGCGTGGTGTCTTGCTAGGTGAACTCGCAAGTTTGTTGTGTTCCCACAATGTTTCACGGCAGTGAGACAAAGCTTACAAATGGCATTATCTTTATCCAACTCGTTGTTCTTACTATCTTTTTATACTTGGAAGCCAAAGTGCTTCCAAACGTCGGCTTTAAACTGTCGGAGGCTTTGTTATTTTGATAGATATTTTGGAAAGACCTCAGCCACTCTTTCTAACAGAGAAATACATGCGCCGCACAGCAGAGTCGCTCTTCAGCGCCATCTACCGGAGTGGAGGTACGGAAGTCGTAACGTAAGTCACAACGCGTCTAAACATGAATCATTATTCTTAAAAAAAATCGATCTTTGGAGTTGAAAAATCGATATTATATTGGGCGGCAAAGTATCGCGATATATTGCCGTATCAATATTTTTACCCACCCCTACTCCCAAATAAGGATTTCTGGAAGTCTTAGAGATTCTAACGTATGCTGGAGATACAACTTGTGGCACTCTCTTACACGTTATATTCATGCCGCATGGTGCATCCCTTTGGTCAAAGATTATCTTATTCATTAATACAGTGATGACATTTGCACTGGTACAGGGACCAGTGCTCGGTCTATTAGGTGTGATACCAAAGGGAAGCGGACTAAATGCTCACCAGATCTCATGGTGCAGAACAGTACTTATCACTGGATGTTTGGTACTGCTGCGACATTGGAAAACCAGAGGGGATATACCAGTGCCTATCCTAAATAGCTAAAATTTCTCATGAATCTCATAAACTGATAGATAGGCAAGATATCGGCATAAAAAGCTGGGGCTCTTATGTTACGGCAATGTGATATGTTGAAGACTTGCACCCATTCCTACAATGATATAATGTCATGTTTTTTTATATGTATAATTTGAGGTACTGTTTTACATAACCTGAGTTATAATGTGATACATACATACAGACAATCCCGTCCTTGTTTCTGTCTTGTTTTAGTTGTAGTTTGCTGTGATATTTTGCTGCATGATGTACACCTTATTAGCTTGGTTTGTTGTATGTTTTCCTTTTGTAAAACTAATGAAAAGAAAACAATTTTTAAAAAAGGGAACATATTACCTGTCCGGTATTGAACCCCCTCAGAGACTCTGTTTGTATATAAACCCCTGCGTGGTCTCACCTAGAGCTACATTACAGAACTCCAATCCCCATACAGTTCAGCTAAGCCCCCTCAGATCCACACATCAAAGGCTGATAACTACAACCAAAAACCTTTTGTAGACAGGGCCTTCTCAGTAGCTACACTGAGAAAACAGCAAAAGAGACTTCAAAATATAATTTTTAATTTTGACCTACAGTATCTTTTAATGACCGACAATCAGCGTATATACATGATGCGTCTGATGGAGCTGATTCTCGTCACGTTGCTCATTCCCATTTCTCTGAGGTTCCTGTACTCTCTTGGCTTCACGTACAGCATCTGGCCTCTGTAGTTGGGCAGCTCAAACATCAGCCAGTGGCCGTCCATCACGTTGCATGACTGGCAGTCAGACATGTAGTAACAATCCTGGAGAGACTCACAGTCGTCAATCAGCTCATGCATCTAATCTTCGAAGTTCTCCCTTTTGTAGATCCTTATCCTGAACTGTCCCCTGTGCTGTTGGAGAAAGAAAAGACATGTCAGTCCATGGGTTTCATAAACTACTTTTCTTGCTCTGGAGCCAGTTCTGGAAGCAGGATTCACCAGTCTATCACAGGCCATTTAGTTTCCAATTCACACAACATGCATGTATTTTGACTGTCGGTGGAAATCGGAGCTGCTGCAAGAAAACCACATGAGATCCAGGAAGAGAGGCATCAACTAGCTGGCTAATTCAAACCCAGGACATCCTCCTTCGGAGTAGACAAATATGAAACCAGATTGTGTTAAGAATTACAGTGAAAATAAAGCCTGAAAGGTACAAGCAACTACCAAATGTCTTACCATGGGGACCATGCGACAAGAGCGAATGGTATTCATCACCGCCATGCCGATCATGCCCATCATGCTCCCCATGCGCTGAAAATCTGAGTATTCCCCTCTCCTCAAGAAGACCTGGTTACCCATGAAGTTTGGGCGGTCGTACACCATGAAGCACCCATTGTACACTCTGCAGGAGTTGCAGCAGTTCAGGTGCATGTGGATGTCAGAGCAGTCACTGCTGCACTCATAGGACTGACCCTGAAAGTTCCTATCCTTATAGAAAATAATCTACAGCAAAAAAACTACAGAAAACGTACATGAAAATACTCAAGAACAGGACTCTAACAAGATTTATAACTTGGATGGAAAACACTTTGTTAGGGTGGAACAAAGTCATAAGGCAAGCAAAACGTTCCTCAAATGACATATTTTAACACTATTTTCAAACACTACATGGCCAAAAGAGTGTTTTTTGGAGTCCACAATATATCCTGCTGTTAGTGTCACCAAAATGTTCAGTGTCACCTTCGGAACTGGTATTCCCACCACATAGATTTTTACAGAAGAGATATGAGTTAAATAGTTGAAGTTGCTGGAAGCAAGGATCAAACCCGATATTCAGTCACAATAACTATTGCAGATTCTGACATACAGTAACTGCCTGTAGTGCTGGACTGTGCCACAATATAGAGTGATGACTCAAAGGTTTCAGCACAAGCCATGTGGAAATACTACCGCTGTGTAATGTATAAAAAGGGTAAGGGTGGATGTCAGAGCTGCACAACTGATATTAGCTCACAAATCATGGCCACGGGGAGGGTAAGTGAACTTTTAAACCATCTAAGGCACAATAACATTAAAAAAAATTAATAGACAAAATCAAAAAGTCAAATGAGCTTTGAGACAAAGACATTTGTTTGACTTCACGTTGTTTTTTGCAGATCATATTCTATGAGGACCAGAACTTCCAGGGTCGCTCATATGAGACCAGCAATGACTGCCCTGAGCTCACCTCCCACCTGAGCAGGTGCAACTCCTGCAGGGTGGAGAGTGGCCTCTTCATGGTCTACGAGAAGCCCAACTTCATGGGCCATCAGATGCTGGCAAGGAGGGGCGAATACCCAGACAACCAGCGCCTGATGGGAATGAATACGAGCGACTGCATCAGGTCCAGTCGCATGATCCCCATGGTAGGTTGACGAGTTGACTTCCTTCCTTCATTGGTGCAATTCTGGGCAATAATACAAATCTGCTGCATTGATGACACCAATCAAAAAGACAAATTCCCTTGCCAGAATTCAACTGTATCTCACAGCCTTCAACAAATGGAGGTGTGATCTTGTAACCTAAGTACCAAACTTTTTGTTTATGTGATAATTCCACAATTTCCTGAACAGGTTAGTACATGCATCTTGAGTTTAGAATATTTTCTCTGGAATCTCTGGATGTTTGTTCACATCCCAATGATGGCAGTGATTGTGCTGAGGATTTGGTGAGATAGTCAACCACAGCCGTTCTCGGCTTCCTACATCGCTAATGTGTAGATCTAAAGGCTGGGTTCAATTTTTATTTTCAGTTCAGATGTCGACAGTCATGTCTCTGACGTTTCTTCATCCACAGCACAGGGGACCCTTCCGAATGAGGATCTATGAGAGGGAGAACTTCGGTGGCCAGATGCACGAGCTGATGGACGACTGTGACAATGTGATGGATCGTTTCCGCATGTCTGACTGCCAGTCCTGCAACGTGATGGAGGGCCACTGGCTGATGTTCGAGCAGCCCAACTACAGAGGCCGGATGCTGTACCTCAGGCCAGGAGAATACAGGAACCTCAGAGAGATGGGGATTAGCAACATGCCAAAGTTCAGCTCCATCAGGCGCATCATGGACTCCTGTTAAGTCAAACTCTAAATGTACTGGGTGGAAAAATAAAGCAAGCTGAAATACAACAATTCTTTTTCCTGCCTTTTTTCAAATTGTGTCGCACTGCTTACTTTCATTTCATGTCAGCATGTTTTGAAAATTGACTTGTGGTTTGAGATAATTGTAATCCATCAGTGAACTTGTAATTATTCTTTGTGAAAGTCGTTTTCTTTTTACATGGTAATGCAGTTGTTATATACGGAGCTCCGGAGTGGCCAAAAAAGAGAAAAAACACATATATGTCAAGGCGATGTTTTACTACATCAAGAACTTGAAATGTGCAAGATATAATTCGTCCCCACGTTGTGGTTAATTTTTTCAATAAACTGACTGCGCCAAAGCCAGTCAGGAGAAGAGCAAAAACATCTTTTTTCATCGAGAAAAACCTTCAGTGCCGTTCTTTGCTCTTCAATATACGCAGGATATATTGCATCCTACACTAACCTCTTTAACTGTTGGCGTTGTTATTGAGCAACACACATCGTCGCACACAACTAGCATTAAACTATAGGCATAACTCATGCCATTGCTCCCAGTAGTTCCATAGAGCAGTGTTTCCCAACATGGGTGTGGCCAAAGTATTAAGGGGGGTTCAATTCAATTCAATTCAATTTTATATTGTATAGCGCCAAGTTATCTCAGGACACTTTTCAAAATGGAGCAGGTCTAGACCGAACTCCTTATAAAGTTATTGCAAGGCCTTCTTGATTTAAAGGGGTGTAAGAGAACTAAATATATACAGTACTCCTATATCTCAGCAATTTGGTATTTTCTGAACACAACTAAAGTAAATGAAATTGTTATTTTTAAAAGTTTAGATCGGTATGTAAGATCTAAAATTTAAGACCTGAACACAGTCAACACAGACCTATTTTCACAGTCATCACGCTCTGCTAAACATGCTCGTCTTAGAACAGTACGCAGTTAAAACAACCAAAGACCTAATAAAAGAATGAGAAGAAAACACTGAATTGGTCAAAGAAGAAGCCTATTAGGTCGGTATGATTTAAAAAAAAAAAAAAAATACATAATAAAGACAAGATTGTATAAAAGGTTCCTAAAAATATAACTCTGATATTGTCAAGATTCATGCAAATTGCGTGTTTTACACAAACTTCCTGCAGTTATTGTGTTCACTGTTTGGATTCATTGTACAGTTTATCAGTTTTTCTCTACTGTTATAGTTATGCGAAATATCCATAAAATATGTCACTGAGTCAGGGGTTAAGGACAGAAAAGGGGTTCCTTAAGAAAAAAGGTTGGGAACAGGCCCGGCCCTAACCAATTTGGCACCCTAGGCAAGATTTTAGGTGGCACCCCCCTTGCATCGCAATAAATAGCCCACACAAAGTATAAAATTTAACTACCTACAAAATAAAAACTGTAAACAAGTGATAAAATAAATTAAACTACACCACCACCTAGTCATCCTCACATCACCTGCTACAGTTGTACTCTCCTAGTCTTTCTTGCAGAAAAGTCATCTACAACATCATCACATGACAACTGATTTGATACCACATGATTGATGCTTATGATAGAAAGTCCACTGAGTTCTTGCATCATAGTGGATCTCAGGTAAGGTTTAATGAGTTTGAGCTTGGAGAATCTTCTTTCAGCAGCAGCCACTGTAACCGGAAGAGTTGGGTGTTACAGTCTAATAATAAAAGAAATGATTCCAAGAATAAAATTAAATAATAAAAATGAAAAACCTAAGAGATGCATTACTTTCACTGTACTGTACATGAATGATTGTAGGACCTTGTCGTCGTCTTATCATTACGAGAGACGCTTTATCCGTCTCTTAATTCAACAGCCATCATATTATTTTGATTCTGTTCCACCAGGAGAGTTTTCAAGGCCTCCTCTTTCCCTTTGACCTTTTTGACCCAGGCGTCTTATTATTATTTAATAGGCTTTGCTATGCAGTTAAATTAATGTGGGCTTTTTTCATACTAAGAAATAATAACACCGACTAGTTTTAGTATAAAAATATTGAAAGTTGCACCTTTTGTTGTTTTTTTTCTTCCCCCATTGTGGCGCCCTCTAGATGGACGGCGCCCTTAGCATTTGCCTATACTGCCTATGCCACGGTCAGCACTGGTTGGGAAGAACTGCCTTAGACAACACTTACTTGTCCCTAATCACTGTGGATGGATTTTTTTTTTATATTGTAATTTTCATCAGCAATATTTTTTAATTGTATTGACCAATTCTGAAGTTGATCTGATAAATTCCCCTTGGAGGAGTTGGTTGAAATACAACTCCAAAAACTGCAGAAAATGACCATGAAATTCAAAATGTCCGACTTCCTGTTGGGTTTGGGTTATGGGTCCAACAGGCTTTTTTGCTTGTCAGATCATGATACACATGCGTACCAATTTTCGTACATGTCAGCCATACGTGTCTTGGGGCTGACTCTGGGGGGAGGGCGTGGCTAAGCCATTTTGCAACGCCCATCTACGGGACCAAGACAATACGTAAGCCTTCGCCAAGACTGAAATGACAATGTACACTCAAATTCGTGTGTTCTGGCAGTACATCAAAATTTTACACCACGCCGCGGACACGCCCTTTAACAAAAACTCACTACAATCAAAATTTCAGGTGGATCTGATCAACCTGCTCGGAGTAAAACATAGACACAGAAGGTAGACATAGACATGTTCAGGGCGGGACTCTTATCAAACGTGAAGTTTCGTTGAGATCGGATCATGTATGCAGAAGTTATGACAGCTTTCTGTTTCATGGCGGGTCGTTGAAATTCGACGCCACACCACGGGCAGGCCATTTGACGGAATGTCGTAAATTGAACAACTTTTAATCATGAATGTCTTTAGATGGCACTATCCAAATGTGAAGTGGGGCTGATCAATTCCCTAGGAGGAGTCATTCAAATACAACGTGTGCAAATCGCCAGGAATGACCGCTAAATCCAAAATGGCCGACTTACGGTTGGGTTTGGGGTATGGCTCCTACTGGATTTTTTGTACATCAGGATAAGATCTATGTGTGTGCCAATTTTTATGCATATCGGTGAAAGGGCCCTGGGTGGCACAATTTATGGGCACCTGAGGGGCCATTCTGCCATGCTCAGAGTGGACCCCCAGATAATACGTAATGTTTTGCCACGACTGACATGAGCACCGCGTTTCATGAGTTTTTGAGCATATTGTGGCCTCAAAAAATGCTATTAATTTGGCACTAAAATAATAACACTTACAGAGCACGGTCAGTGCTCGGGCCCTAATTATACAAATTACAAAAAATGACTAGGTGCTTGCAACACTAGGTCAAAATGACAGTTATACATTACACACAGATTAGATTACATTTGTTTACATCTGTATTAACATGTATCTAAAGCAGAACCAACTGCCTGAAGTTCTGGCAGTGTTTTCAGCAAATCACTTTGAGGATAAGAAGCAATGAGAAATAGAAACAATAACAGTGGTTCAATGTTATTCCAGTTGTATCGTCATTCAGATCATTAAAAAAAATACTGGAGCTAATTTTGCCAAATCCTTTCTTTCCACCGCTGTGTGACACTGACCCTTCTCTGTTCCAGCATGTGTTTGATATGAGTCATCATCAGACTGGAACAAAGGCAAATCAAACAGCACCCTTCCATTTTGCTGATATGTAAATCTACCTCATTTGGCTATCAAAGACTTGCCTCACTCTGCACATTTTGTTTATCGATAAATACTTTGATGGGGCTGCAGCAAAGGATGAGGTTTACAGTGCATCCAGATGGGGAAGGTAAGATAAAACCCACCACATCCGTTTGCTTTTTACAGACATTTGTTCAAGATATTCAGGCTCAAAATAAAGAATTCACATTGTGTAATATAAAGTTTCCTCTTACCTTTTTCAACAGATCACATTTTTCGAGGAGAAGAATTTCCAGGGCCGCTGCTACAACTGTAGCAGCGACTGTGCCGACCTGCACACGTACTTCAGCCGCTGCAACTCCATCAGGGTGGAGAGTGGTGTGTGGGTGATCTATGAGAGACCTAACTACAAGGGTTTCCAGTACGTCCTCACCCCCGGGGAGTACGCCGACAGCCAGAAGTGGATGGCCTTCAGCGACAACGTCAAATCCTGCCGTGCCGTAAAGAATGTAAGAGTCCTCATTCAGTCTGCAGGCACTTATGTCAGATACAACAAAGGAATTTAGACATACAAATGTTTCTGGATAGAAAAGTGTTTGAAATTATGTTTGGGCAGTGAACAGCAAAGTGGGAATGTAACAAGGGAGGACTGAGCTGTGAACACTAAACAAGCAGCAATTTGCAGCTTTTGCAAGTTTGCCAAGAAGATGTTAAAGGTGAATATACAAGCTGAAAGGCTACATGCTGCACTAATGAACATTCAGTTCCCCGCAGCTCTACAGAGCATTTTAGCATCTTTCAGCTCATTGTTTTGATTTTACATCTCATACATTTAGTGTTTTGGTGAATTCACTCCATTCTCATCGATCTTCTTCCCAGCGTCCAGATACACTGCTACCTACCCAGAACCAAAGACAGACAGGCACAGCGACTATCTGCTCTTGGTAGCGACTAGCTGCTTACCACAGTGTAACATTTAACAGCTAAAGACCCAGATATTTTTTTATCAGAAACGTAGCCAAAAGGAGAGTGAATATTGGACTTATTAATATTGGATATTGGAAGGCTCAGAAACATGACTCCAAATGAAGGCTACTGTTGCTCCATGTCTGCTGGTTGTGAAAACTGTCAGAATTTGCTAACACATTAGCCACAACAAATCCGATGTGTTTAACTGTTGTTGATTTTCTGCCCAGGTTACCAAAATAATACCGCTTTAAGAACTTTGATTATTACCGGTATACAGAAATTATGAGAACCTATTTCAAATTTTATATTTCTACATTGAAATGATCAAAATGAGGCAACAGCAAATTTAGGTGGATAAAATGTTAGCAAAATAATTAGCTAAAAGTAAAGATACAGAATGTACTAATTCTATTTGAACTGAGAATTTAAACTTTTTTGGGTTATCGCCTGTGACCTGATGTTTCCCAGGGCAAAAGATCATCTCATTAGACCAATAGGGCTGGAATCGAACCTTGATACCTTGAATTTTTGGTTACCAACCAGTGTCCATGACATTGATAATCAAAAACTATAAAGTATCTAAAGTGGACGTTGACATTTTGCCAATTTTTCAATTCCACTGAAGAAAATTTTTATTTATAAAATTTTTATATTGTCTATATATCTCAAAGTACGGTATCAACAAAGTTCTATTTTGGTACCAAAACCTGGGCATCATATCAGAACTTATTTCAAAAATGCCAGCAGTTGTGATAGCTTACTTTTACATTATGTGTCTTGTGTTTGTAGGTTTATGGCAGTGCGTGGAAGCTGAAGCTGTATGAGAGGCCAGACTTCAGAGGGCAGATGGTGGAGTGCTCTGATGACTGTCCTTCAGTGTATGATACCTATAAGCTGCGTGAGGCTTACTCCTGTGTGGTGATCGATGGCACCTGGGTGTTCTATGACCTCCCCAACTACAAGGGGCACCAGTACCTTCTAGAGCGGGGCGAGTACCGGCAGCATGGTGACTGGGGGGCGTCCTCGCCTGGAGTCGGCTCCTTCCGCAGGGTCACAGAGTTTTAACTCTACCTCGGCTTTAGCCTTGGCCAGAAAGTGATTCAAGACCTTTCCAGATGCCTAAACTGACACCATCAATAAATGAGAAGCAAACTCTGACTGGTCTTATGGATTTTGTGTAAATATGGTTCATACTAGACCTAATGACACAAGGTATTTACAACAGACCCCAGTGAAAGCTATTATGACAGGTTGTAGCCACCGTATATTGTATTGTCTCGTCACATGGTTACATCAACATTCGACAACATCAACATATATTTTATCCAGAAATCATCATTGGATATCTGTATATGAGAAAAATAAAATAAGACATTATTCATATAATTTGTTATAGATTGGTACTGACTATTTTCCAAAAGAATCAATAAATAAAAAAATACTTAATAAATTCAAATAATTCAATGAGATGAGATATGTGTTTGATCTTGAGACTACGCAATAATGAAACTGCTATAACTGGCTAAATATGGCTAATGGTTTCTATTCCAAAAAAACAGGACTGCACTTCATTTCAATGGTTTATATATTCCAACTTCAACCATTGAGGAGGGACAAATCAGTGAAATCGACTCAGCTCAAAGCGTTTCATATCAAATGTCCTGCAGTGGCCTTGTTTTTGTCAGCAGGCTTTGCTGCATCCAGTGGCTTTTGGATGCTTTGCACTTTGCATTTGCATTGTTTAGGGAAACAGGATTCACTGCTTCAGAACAATGTGATAAGCCCAGATAAATATTTGAACCGCTGATTGAATAATTCAGTTCACACAAAGCAACTCATGTGCTTAGTTTTATTGTTCCTGTTCTGTATGAAGAGAATATTGGAGATTGCTGCTTTAATGCTTTATAGAACACCAAACCTAATAAATAATTATGGTATTAAGGTTTTACATAGAGAAAACACATATTTAGTGATTATATTTAATGTAGTACAACACAAACTATACAGTATTATTAGAGATAAATATAATTGTGTGCAAACTATGTGCTTCTAAACATCCAGGGTCAATTCCACAAGTGCAACAATGAGTCCAGTGAACTATTCTGGGTAATCTATGAGCAAACTACATGAGCTACCAGTATGTGCTGAACCCAGGAGAGTATCCAGACTACCAGAGCCAGCTGGGCATTGGTCCTGTCGCATTATTAGGAACGCAAGTTAAAGGTCCAGTGTAACATTTACATTTCTATTGGCAGAAATGGAATATAATCTAATATATAATGTAACATAGGTATGTTTTTATTAGTGTATAATCTCCTGAAGTATGAATCATTAAGTTTTTGTTACCTTACAATGAGTCGTTTTTATCTAGATGCTGTGGGTCACTTTCCATGGAGTCTGCTATGTTGAACCGCCATTTTTCTGCAGTAGCCCAGAACCGACAAACCAAACACTGGCTGCAGAGAGGAACTTTTGTGTTTTTTGCGAGTTTCGCAGCCACTGTAGTTTCTCCTACATTACAGCACTTTGTCACTCCCAGGTCATCTAATACAGGCGCGAGTGGTGTTCAGTTAGTTGCAATCTGCAACTTCACTGCTAGATGCCACTAAATCCTACACACTGGTCCTATAAACACAATTTATTTTGTCACTCAAATATAGGCTTATTTACAGAATGCTGTCTTGGATCTTAAATAATGCTGTTGCTAATTTAATAATTATTAAAAGTTAAAACTTAATATAAAGTCAACTTGAAAATACATTTTTTTCTATTTTGTTTTTAGCATAGCTCAAAATATATTCAATTCAATTCAATTTTATTTGTATAGCGCCAATTCATAACAGAATCTCAGGACACTTTTCAAAAAGAGCAGGTTTAGACTGAACTCCTTATAAAATATATATATACATCCTTTTAGTTTAATTCCAATTCAAGCAAAAAGACATAATGTAATCTTTAAAAACAGGTCACAGATAATATAATATTATTTTAATTAAGTAATATAACAGCAGTACAGGAACAGTGTTTTAACAGTGAGAGCCACTGAAACCATATATTTAATTGAATGGTATGCTGTTTTATAAACCAGAAACAAACTACAACTGAAATTTAAAATAAAAAAATACACATACTCATTAACTATTGCACTCTTGTGCATTTGTTTCCAATGTCAAGAAATCTTTTTCAAAAATTCCTCTCACTGCTCATATGTACATACTGTACCTGGCTATACATACAGCTTTTGAAATAATACAAAAACATTTATAGGTGTTATTTTTGAGACAGTCTTTGCATCAGCAGACAGGCACATAATGAAAACAGGAGGGCAACAAAAAATAATGAGGAAATTTGAGAATAAGCTGGTGTCAAACAGCATCCAGTAAAAATTTCAGCATCAACACACTAAGCAATCAAACAGCACATATAAAGACCATGTACTGTAATACAATTGCAGCATCAGCTAATGTCCAAAGTTAATGGAGAGCTCATTTGAATGACAATAATTCTACTGGCACTGCATTTCATCAGCCTTTATATGAATGTGGGCCATCAGTAATGCAGTGTGAATGAAGGGCTTTAATTTGATTGGGTGAGGAGGAACATAAGGTGATTATGGAGCGCACAGGAAAGGTGAGTAACACAGTGATACCATGATGCACTTCATACAGTCTGATTGGTCTGTAATTGTCCCTCAGGAATGATGTTCAGATGAAATGTGCAGTCATGTAACTGCAAATAATAGTGTATATACTACAAATTATATAATACATATATATATCATTCAGAAAGCTATATACATTATTTGAGTTAGAAAAATATTGGAATTACGGACTTGAAGCAGTGTTTTACTGTATTTATTTTCTTGTCACATATTACTTTCTAAATGTATTTAATGTTCCTGCACAAAGCCTTTGTTTTAGTAGGCCAACATGAATTTATTGGCCAAATGTTTCTAAATTTTGGTTTGTGATTTGTCAGCTTGATCTCACCCAGAATTCATCCTTGTTTGTGCAAAAATGACTCATGTCATCAGACTTTTGAAGCTGCAGTATTTGGTTTTTTTGGCCACTTGGGGGCAGCATAACATGCTAAAACATTACATTTGATATATTATCACCTTATTAAGTTATTATTGCAAATGTGTTTGCAAACAGTTGCCTATTTAATTTACCGCAGACACAGAACCAAACAAAGGACAACACTGGATATCAAATTTTTTAAATATCAAAGTTTTGGCCTCTTGGAACCCAACAGCTATCGCCTGAATACGATTTAGCGTTTGGAGGCAACAGTCCATGTTTCTGGGCTTTCAGTGTAGATAACAGATATTGAGACCGATTAGCAACTTAATGCGCAAAAATGACAAGAAAGATGCATTTCAGCTAAACTCTACAAACAGATATCTGCACATGAATGCAAATACCTTTTAGAAAAAAGCAAAATAATTGTCAGACGATAGCTGATAGATTATGAGATTGCACAGTGCGTTCCGCCTCTTTTGCTCTCCACACGGACTGTTTGCCTGCATGCAACCAATCCTGCTCAAACATGATCAATAATGCTTAGACTACAAATGGAAACCAGAATGCTTTTGATGCCAAAATCTTGGTCCCTTGCCTAAAGATTCTGCATTCATATGAAGACATGTGAGATCTGCAAATCTAGAAACATAAGTAGTTGCACATTGTTAACATTATTACAGACAGACTTCCTGGTTTAAATTTGACCTACTCACTGTCCTTAGTTGCATGCACAGTTTTGCTGTGGATGGAGAGATTATTACTGTAGTAATGGTAGTAAGGATAGGATTAGTAACAATGTATACAGCCATCTACTAGTCGATGTAGGGGTCTAACGGAGACTCCCGCTTGCAGATCTTCTTCTATGAGGACAAGAACTTCCATGGTAATCACTACGAATGTGGCAGCGACTGTCCTGAGCTCAGCTCCCACTTCATCCGCTGTAATTCCATCCGGGTGGAGAGCGGGGTCTGGGTCATTTATGAGAAACCCCAGTACATGGGCTACCAGTATGTCCTCATGAGAGGGGAGTACCCAAACTACCAGAGCTGGAATGGCTTCGGTGACACCATCCGCTCCTGTCGCCTCATCAGACACGTAGGTCCTGGAAAAAAGCTTTTGTGACAAAGCCAGAAAGACATGTATATATATATTTTATTATTTATTTTGGTTTTTACTCTTATTTAAATTACATGTGTTTCTATCACTTATTGTGCTGGTTTGCCAAGTTTCCTATATGTTTGATACCACACTCTTACATCCATCCATTAAATACAAAGCTAGAGTCAGGAGTCAAATTAGCATAAAGACTGGAGACCTTTTAAAGCTCACTAATTAAGATTTTATATTTTGGTTGTTGTTCAAGTCTTCCAGCAGGCACAGGATCCGCATCTACGAACATCCAGACTTCAGTGGTCAGATGATTGAGTTTAGTGAGGACATGCCCAACCTGCTGGACCGCTGGCGCTACCGTGATGTTAATTCTACTCACATCCAGGACGGTACTTGGGTCTTCTACGAGTATCCAAACTACAGGGGACGCCAGTACCTGCTGGAGAAGGGAGAATACAGACGGCACGCAGATTGGGGGGCCTTTGATCCGTCTGTAGGCTCCATTAGACGTGCTGTGGACTTCTAGACTGCAACTTAAACCCTTTCTCTGAGATTTACTCACCTGCAAATAAAAGCACACAAACCGCAGCAGAATTGATTTCATGTCTTGTGATTACAAAACAAATCATTCTGGAACAAATATACATAAATACAAGACAGGACTATGAAGTGTCATTTGCATGTGCCTGGCTGTGAGCTGGATGTTGATAGTTATATTAGCAGTGCTGAGTGGGTGCTAACATCTGGTGGCTAAACCCCGGTGCACACTGATGATTCAAGAGGATTCACCAACAAGGACCCATGGTATGCCAGCAGTCATTGTTGTTAGATGGCAGTCTGTGCCAGAGATGGCAGAAAAAAATAAAGCAGAACAGTCGAACAAAATCCACCACCCAGCTGGCGCACAGACACAACAAAAACAACAGAGAGTTGAGGGCAGGCAGCTGCAGGACTTCTATGGAGACCCTCGGGGATCGTACGATGGGAAAAAAAAGATATATATATATGTTTGTGTTCTCCCAAGAAATGTTTTGAGTGGAAAAAAGTACAGATGGATGGGATACATGTTGAGCAGCATGGCCTTCCAACGAGCATCTGTGAACAAAGTTATAAGGTGTGTACTTCTGTACAGTAAACAGTGAGGCCAGGCCGTTGGTTTGCAGTCAGGTACTGTGGAAAGGTTTGGCAAGAGGACGTAAAGGTTTGTTGGGAAAACACACTTTTTTTTCCACCTTAGGGGCTCCGTAGACATCAGAGGGGAAACCATAAAATGTTTTCTCTGTAAAAATGTATCCATTTTCTCCAAAATCTGTGACATAGACATATGACCACATATAAAGTAGTAAATGTGAGATCTCCAGAGTAAAGAACATAGACTGTATTAAACAATTTTAATGAAATAGCAGAAAACTAATTGTGAAAACTCAAAGAATATAAATATTTGCACATCATATAAACAATAAAGATACTTACTGATCACATATTTTCTATTCAGAGACACATTGTTCATGGCGGCTGTCAGTGTGGCCATGAACAGACTCCCTTCCTGGCTGCTCAGACGCGACTTCGCTCCGGTCGGCGAACTGACGCGATGACGCATCAGCGGCGGCTGAAAACGTTACCACCTGAGCGGAAAGCTCGCGCTCATTCCAGCTCCATGAAGACGTGTGGAGGAAGAGAGGAAGAGGAGGGAGACTGGAGGAAAACAACACAGACACCAGAGGGGTATTGCACAAAACCAGGATAAGGGATTAAGCCGGGATATGTTGGTTATCCTGGCTTAATTTAGCCTCAAGTCGGTTGCATGAAAGCAGGTTAAACTTATCCCGGCCAAGTTACTATGGTGATTTATTCTCTGCAGTTAGCCTGCTCCAGACCAGGCTAACAGCCAGGCTAACATTAATCCTAGTGATTCACCTGTATTTCCACCGTCAATCCTGTGAGGAATTAATGTGTTTTACAGCATGTCCATGGTCTTTCTAAGTATGTTGCATCATTTTAATTATCCTGCATTAAAATATTACATATATATTGTAATTTCTTATTTCATTTAAATCTGTTGGCTGTTTGTAATTGCAACAGTCTTTTTATATTAATTCAAATGGTAGTATTATTACTCAGGACAAGTGTTATATTGCTATGCTAATGAAGACTGCTCGTCAGACTGCATAAATATGTGTTTTATTGCAGTAATTGAGATTACAAAACACAGCTGATGAAGTTGCAAAGGTGTTTTCAATGAAATCTCTGACAAGGGCAATATAGTATATATATTATGGCATACCGTTTAGGAGATTAATCTTTGAATATATAAAATGAATCTTTGAATATATAAATGAACTTTGAATATATGGAATGAATCTTGACTGGTCATCAAGGCACTGCTGCCATCTTGTAGAAGTGAGAATGAGTCAGTCAGGAACCTTGTGGCAGCAATACTGAGCAATGAGGACATTATTAACTCATTGGCAAGTGCTTGTACGGGCCACAATCCTTCCCACAGTACCCGTGCCCAATACCGTTCTCCTGACGAAGAAGTTCACTCCCTTTTTAATGGTGGCAGGCCGGTTACAACAGGCCTCAGGCTAAATCCTGACAGAAAAAGCAAAAAAGTTTTCCAGTTTAAGAAAGTATTGTAATATTTCAACTGATGCCATTTTGTAAAACCAGCTAATTCAGAAGGCTATCACTTTGATGAAAAGGATACAACTAGGTTTTCAATTTCATTCAGTTCATTCATTTTTATCAGTTTATCCAAGATTCATTCCATATATTAAAAATTCATTCCATATATTCAAAGCTTCATTTCCTAAACGGCATGCCATAATATATATATATATATATATATATATATAATATATATCATTCACAGCTGTTCCCTCTTCATAATGGCTTGCCCTTTTTTGGAGGATGTGCTGGATGAGGAAGTCCTAATCCTCAGACGAGCATTTAGTCATGAAAGAGTCTTCTGGGACAGGTCAGACCCATTGGCCGTTGGAGATGACTGTCTCATTGAGAGATACAGATTCTCAGGTGATGGACTAAGATATTTATGTAGGCTGCTGGGTCCAAAAATACAGCACCAGACGGCAGGAAGCCATGCTCTCACTGTACCACAGATGGTCTGTGTTACAGTGAGATGTTTTGCAAGTGGGAGCTTCCTTTATTCTGTTGGGGATGCAGAGAACCTCAATAAAGGAACCATTTTGCAGTACATATCCTGGCTTGGTGGGCCGCCACCTGTGCCAGTTCTATGGGCTTTTTTTAACTGCTACAATCATACAGACATTTAACATGTCAGCAGACACCTAATCTATTCACCTCATTTGTTCACTGTTATCTACTTTAAAGTCACTTACCAGCCTGCTAAATGTTCTTGTATTTAACTTTAACTTGCTGCCAGGTCCTTTTATGGCCAGACAAGGTTGTTCTTTATGAAGGATAGAAAGATAAAATAGATAAAAATAGATTAAATGACACACATTGTGGATAATTGTTTGCACTTAATCATATTCTACATTTCCTGAGTAACATGTACCTCTACTTGCCACATTTAAAGCAAAGTGTACAACAGTTGATTAGTGGACTTAAAGTAACTCCTTTAGTCCTTTAATTGGAGCCTAATGATGACAGTTCGAGTGGAGCACTGTTTATTCATTGTACAGTTTTGGACTACTTAAGCATTAAGCCGGTCCGCTATTGTCTGCCAGGCTTTCTCTCTTTCTTTAATTATGGCATTGGTATTGCCTTTGTTTCTTCTATCTTCCACCTCTTCATAGAACTCCATCAGGAGCTGTTGTTCAGCGGCCGTGAAATATGAAGCGCGACTCTTATCCATGTTCCCATCGGTGATTCTGTGAGCGATCGCGAGGTCTATTTCAGTATGCCGTGAACACGCACTTATCCCGACTATCTACACCTGGCTTAACATAGCCGCACCTTTTAATCCTGGCTCGACAAACGTGCAACCGATTAAGCCAGGATGCGCCGAGCAGGCTAAGTCAAGCCGCGCTTGCTCACTTATCCTGGATTTCTTTATCCTACTTTTGTGCAATATCCCACTGGAGTTTCTTTGAGTTAGAAGGTCAGTCGGAGGCTGAACGGACACACAAACAAAAAACAAACAAAACAAACAAACAAACAAACAAACAAACAAACACAGGGTCGCTGAGTCTGTTGCTAGCTAGCTAACAGCTATGCTAACGTCGTAGAATCAAAGAAACGGCCCAGATTGACCCGAGGAGACAATCAGAGATTATTGTGAGGAGGAACAGGGCGTTTTAAACATTTGTTGTTGTTTTCTTGCTGTTATTGTCAGAGGAAATTGATGAGCATTCAGCGAACAGCCTCTGAACAACACAATGTCTTTTTCCTCCTGTGTGAGGATGTAAATACTGTAGGATTTCAGATATGGTTGATGAAGGTCATTATTATTCACAGCACTAACTGCTCAAACACTAACGTTGCTCTTGTGAAGCAGTAATGGCAGCAATAAGGTGACTCAGATATATTGATGGTTGGTACAGTGGCTGTTTGCTCTGTTCACAGCAAAGTCACATGCTCTCCTCATATGCCTGATTATTATTGATTATTATCGATTATTATTCCACCACTGTATCTGACAGGAACATATGTGGAAAGTGTGTCTTTATTCTTGAGGCAGTTCATAGGATACAACTATTGTCAGCATATAAAACTCTTCTTTATGTCAAACAATTGGCCACAAAGTCTGACTGTTGTTCCAATAATTGTACAGATTGCAGACCCCAATGTCACCTTCAGGAACAGAAATCCAAATACGTTATTTAGTGTTTCCTTGTTTCATACAAGCTTAACTGTGTTAATGTCACCAGTCACAACCAATGTCAAAATGAATTCTCTATGGTCAGTTCCTGAAGTTGGAGCTGTAGTTTTACTGAACATGATTATTTATTATCCAGTAACATTATTTACATTTTAATGGATTTTTCTGGAATACAGTTTTTCCTTCTTTGATATTTAAAGACACAGAGTGACATTTTCTCTCTGAGTGAATTAAATCTTTGAGCATGTGTTGCAGTGGTTGGAATTTTTATCAGAAAATTATATTATATTTATATTAAATGTCAGTATTTCTGTAATTTCATTTTTTACAATCAAACAGCTACTTAGGTTACCCAGGTTAGTTCAGTATTTTATTATTGTTTTAAAAACTTGACTCAGGAGGTGTCTGAAACATTAACAACAAAATAAATTATACGTATGCAACTGAACATTCTGATGATTTATTTTGTGTTTGATGGTTACAGGAGGACTGCTGTTGACACACTCTGTGAGAACTATGGAGGAGTCTTCAAGTTGGTCCACTTTCCAGGATGGGAGACAGTCCGGGGATACCAGGTGCTGTTAGCTTGTTCTCTTCTCTTTACAAACAGCAGAGGGCGCTGCTGTTTCTTCAGTGGACACAGAGCTTTGAATACTATTGTAGGATGTGGAACAAACCATTTGTTACCATCAAATAATTACAAAAGTCAGGCACAAAGCTGG